ACTTTTACTACTAGCTTCATGTTAACATATATATGGTCAGTTAAAAAAAATAGATAAAGTGGTCTAAGCCCGTCCAGACAAAGCTGGGTTTCCATAACAATGTGACAGCAGGTACCATACTGTGCATGTGTGCAATGAGTAAAGGTCAGTATATGCTTGTGATGCATTGCCTCTGCAACCGTGAAATCTGTCTCTGTGCGTGACCACGCCTCCCGCACAGAGGTTCTGCAATTGTCGTTGCACACCTCAAAAGAATCCTGACTATGCGTCGGACGGTCCTAAAACCACTCAGACCTCAGGCGGAAGTGCGCAGACAAAAGCAGCTGTGATTGATCCTTGGTATGCCTTCCCGCCTGTCTGTGTGGTCGTCCTTCTCTATTCGGTGCTGGGGCGCGCCATTTTTAAAACCAAGGAAAAACTACAATGGACAACTACAATGAGAGGTCAATCGAGGAGGTTCGGAAGTACAATCCGCCGAAGTTCTCGCGAGTTCTTGAATAGGCTCCCCATTGCGCTTAGGTGGGAAACTGCTGTGCATCTCTAGAAATTCCAGACCGACGGTACAGAAGCATACCAGCAAAAACTGGTTTGAGACCAGACCCAAGCCACATTTGATGTGTGCGATTGCAGAAGTCCAATCTGCCCTTAAACAAGGAAGTAATGGAAACAAAGAAAATCCAAGAGAAGGCGTAATACTCCAAATACACATATGTGATTCCTACATGCACAGGATAAGATCCACACATGTACACAAGATCCACACACGCAGGACAAGATTCACCAAAGTATTTCTGGTTTATAAACAATTGGTCCTTAAACTTCACTGCATTTTGTGGGGATTTTGAGACTTCCCTGACATGCCTCGATACAAAAATGCATTTTTTAAGCAGGGATGGTTTGCCACCAATCACAAAGCTCCCTTGTATGAGCCAATCACAAGAAAGTACTGCACGTGGGAGGAGCCCAGGGCCCACATCCTCTGCCCCCGCCCCGCTCACGTACGTCGTGCAGAGGACTTGTGCACTCATTTTAATCAATGAGAACAGTTCCACATCCACCGCTACTCCTTCAAACATCACTGTCCTCGTACGTCTTCTACATCCTTCATCGTCCAAAGAAGTAGCAGAGCTATTTTTAGCTGCGCTCCTGTCCGGCAAGGTGCAACTGCACCAAACTGGAAAAAGAACGATTAGAAAATCCAGTTTATCAAATTAAAATATAGTAATGACAGATTGGTAACTACAAATTAGAGCATAATTCTTATATAGTCCCGAAAACTAAGACCGTTTATTTAAATTATTGGATGCAAACTACCGTTACTTTAACATGGCAGCAAGCAGATTTCTAATGTTCATCGAAATATTTATTTTATACCGAGAAGCTTAAAACTTTAATCAAATCCATTCCTTCCAAGAGCGAATCTCACATATTCAAAAGGAATTTCTTATCACAGGCAAGGATGAAGAGATGCTGAGTTTGGAGTTAGAGAACAAACCAACTTTGTAAGTGTCAGGTCTAAGCACCTAAAACATTATACATATATACAGAGAAAGAAAGAAGGCACAGAGACAATTAATTTAGTTTACTCGTCGGGAGAGTAGGAAGAGACTGCTGAGTTTACAAATCTCCAACCCACTGTGCTGGTCTTTAGCTTTCTCCTCGCTATTTATTAAAGTCAGGGGATGTCCCTAATTACACAAGCTGAGGTTTAACTAAGGAAAGGGACACAAAATGATCTTACTTTAAACCTTAGCACATATGTTAAAACAAAGCATGTGGTTGTTTTACAATTGAATTGTTCCAAGAACACATGTTGAGAAGAAACATGTGATAGAGGATGTTCAGGCCTCTTTCACAACCCGTCCATTGCATGACCTTTAGCAAGAGTTAATAAACGATGAATAACACATTATATCATAAAAGTTCATTTGTACACAACCCATGAAACACAAACGGAGTATAAATAGAATATTTCTAACAGTATGATTATTCCTTTTACAAAGACCCACAACGAAAAAATAATGTTTGGGCAGAAACGTGTGTGATTGATGCTGATGGTGAGATTTATTTATGTCATATTAAATTAAGCGTTCATTACCACACGCTTGAATCATTTTGGTGAATGTGTGGATCTTGTGCTGTGCGTGTATTTGTAAAAAATTGAGACCAATCTAACTGCACAGAGAAGAAGGAATTAAGATGAGAAGAATAAAAAAAGGGATGGGAAGATGGATAAGACAAGATTAGCACTGAAGGTATAATATGAATGTTGGTGTTATTTGCAATGGGAGATAAAATTGCTGAAGCTCTTATCTAGTTGATAAATGCGTGACTAAATACTGCCACCAGATGGCGACGGTCTACAACGGTGTTTGCTGATCCCATCCACTGCATGAATTCTGTTTAGGTTAAAACAAAGGACTCAGTAAACACTGTTAGCAATGGCGTAACTATCGGTAAGTAGAGACAGCAGCTGCTTAGGGGCCCACAACCTTTTAGGGCCCCCATCACTGACACCCGGTTGGCCCCCATATGCAATTGTGGACTAGGACGTCTCTTTGCAGATGTAATGGTGCGAAAAATTCCTCTTAAACCCACCTGATACTGAAGTGACTGACCGCACCAGACCGTATTTATACCGCAACAGATTTCACCATGATGGTGAGCTGTTTAAACACGACACCAATAGCAAAGCAGACAGTGGGACTTTTAAGTACTGTGTTAATAACTGTGTATAGTTCATTAGACGGTTGGAAAAAATCCACTCATATAATATGTGTCATGGTTTTGATTTTGTTGTGCTTTACTTTGCTCCATGTTTTCTAGTTTTATTGGTTTAATTCCTATTTTGTTTTAGTTTCTAGATTTATGTTAGGCCACTTGTGTGTTCCTTTCCCCTTGGTTCCCTCGTTGTCTCCTCACACCTGCTCCTTGTCAGCTCGTTAGCCCTGCCATCGTCTCAGTCAGCTGCATATACTCTCCCTCTGCAGACACTCCTTGTTGGTTCCTTGTCGTTGCTGGTTTCTCATGTTGTTGTCTCCATGCCTCGTCTCTCCCTGGCTCCTTGTGTTTGGTTTCCCATACTCCATAGTTTGGTCTCCATAGTTCTGGTTTGCTTTACAATTCTAGTTGGATTTTTGGATCCCTGCCTTGGTTAAACTGTTTCCTTTGATTAAATCTGCAAGAACTCACTTCTGCCTCCCTGCCTCTGCATTTGGGTCCAGAAACACCAACCAAAATGTGACAATATGTTTCAAACCGCAATAGATCTTAAAAGAACAATGTATTTGAGTATTTTATTTTTTACAATTCGACTTGGAATTATGGGTAATCCAGAAGGTAGATTAAAACCATAACCGTTACGTACAATGTGTTAGCGACAATGTATACCAAAAAGAGGTACTTAACTGCATTCCGGAAAAAAAAAGGAAAGAAGAGCTGCTGGAAGAACAGAACAAACTTCCCAAAACAAAGACTTTCTTTTAAAGAACTAAAGACGGAGACAAGGGCATTGCAGCTGCAGTGAGTAAAGATGGTGACCAGGAGATGAATGGAGAGAGGTGAATGAGGAGGAGAGCTGTGAAACTCAACCTAGCCTGATGGCTTTTTGTGCTAACAATGGGTGGTGATCATAAACTACTGAGAATTGCATAATTGTATCTTCTTGGCGGATTTATTGAACCGTCGCCGTATCCTGAACCTTTATAACGTGTTGCACTTCACATGGGGCCACCCAGATAATGTTGCTTAGGGGCCTGTTGTGTCGTTACACCATTGACTGTTAGGATGAACATTTGACGTATCATGCTTTATTTAGCATAAAGTTATGTCTTTTTGTTGTTTTCATTTAATAGGAATAGTGTGATTCTTCAATTAAAAGATAACCAGCAGCTACATCGACACACACACACACACACAAAACTCACAAATAATAAGAATTTAGTTAAAAAGTGGAGTGGTAAGACACCAACAAATTTAAACTAGCGGTATTCAGAATTGCTCTCTGCTTACTAACATTCTGAATTCTACAAGATTGACAGCCTCAAATTGTGAACTCGGTGTGTAAGCATGTGAGAGTGAATGTGAACGAAGATAAGTGTGAAGCAACATCAAAATGACTCTTCGTTTTCTGGTCACTTTGTCTTCACTGGAGAAAATCAATATCTAGATAAGTCAGTTCTTCTTAAAATAAGTGCATTTGTTCTTGGATTGAGGAGGTAAAAGAGTCATTTTGTCAGTGGAACTAGACAATTTACACTTAAAATAACAAAACACAACTGCATTGTCTTATTTCAGGTGCATGTTATATAATTATTAAAATACTCATTCTACTGGCAAACTATAACATTTACCTACTCAAATGAAGGGTAAATACACTTAATTTAAGACATTTTCACTTATTTCTAGATCGTTTTTCCAGTGTTCAGCAACAATATGATGACCAGTACCTACCGAATATTAGCTGTAAGATCATCGGCTGTGATTCTGATCTTGCTCTAACAGATGTGTGTCTTAGAATAAAGACTCTTGGATTGGTCTTCAGAAAAAAACTGAGCAAAAGTTCAGTTTCCTTCCAATTTAAGCTTCTTTTAGTGGATATCATGACCCGGGTGACTGAGAATTTACACAACCATGTCGCATTTATCATGTTGGTGCGGGAGTGTGAGCATATTTCCAGAAAACAAGGATTCCTGGATAGGTGTTGAAAAGTCCAGTTCCCTTCCAGGTAAACCCTGTTTTGTGGTGTCCTAGAATAGTTCCTGAAATTACTTTTATCTGGATGTATGAGGCTACTGATGACCGTAAACCAGGTTCACAGTGGTTGGAAAAAGGAAACAGCTGCAAACCTTGGTTAGAGGCAAACCCTGGCTATTGAGGGCTATTGAAGGGCTCCTAGAAGACGAACCCGAACGGCAATCTTTCAATCAGAGTTGCCTTAAATCTAGTTTAAATTGAGTCCATTGTAATAAGATGTTGTTTTTTTTGCTTTTTTTTTACAGGTGTTGTCACCTACAGAGCAGAGCGTCCCGTCGCCATCCTCTCCTGACTATCGAACAAAGGGTCAAGGCGATGAGATGGAGCACTTCCACATCCTTCCTCAGCTGCAGGCTAAGAGGGCAGACTTCCTCACTGTCATGTTGACGGGTACTTTGCCTCAGCGTAGGAGCTTTGCCACGCCGGACGAAGAGGTCCAGGAACCTCTTGGGCCGAAGGACGATGACGTAACTAAAAGCGATTCCAACAGCGAGGCCAGTCAGAAAAGCACTGAACGCAGCCAGGATGCTGCACCCTCGACGCTCATGGCGGAGGACCAGAGAGGACAGAAGGAGCACGCGTCGGCCGCTGATGCAGATCCGGACCTGGAGGACGCGTCAAAGACTCTTGTTCTGTTTTCACCTGGAGACACTCGCAAGTCCCCCTGTGGTGGGGAACATGTTCTCGAGGGGGAATTGGGGACACCCTCCGGTCTAAATTCTCGTAATGACCGCCTACTGACAGGGGAGGGGATTCAGCCTGAACTCTCTGAAACTGGCCGCCTGTCTCCAGCCCTCAGGTCAGAACTGAGACCCTCGACTCCCATTGCTCCCGGATCACCTCCCTTCACCAAAGTTGAGCGCACTTTCATTCATATTGCAGAGACATCACACCTCAATATTATGTCTTCCAACGGTCACTCCGCAAAAGAAACTGACCTGGGAGACTTTGCTCTCACGAGGGAATTGGCTGCAGAGGTTGAAACCCATGAGCGGAGGGATGCACCACTGCCCAAAGAGGCTGCAGAGGAGCCTGAGCCAGACAAATCCAGTACAGAAGATAAGCAACCAAAAACTGAAAATGGTCCGTCAGCCATCTTCGCCATGTCTTTGGAGCCTGCCTCTAAAGACTCCTCACCGGTTTACGATCAAAAGGATCAACCCCATGAAGCTACGAAACAACTTCCCTCCAGTGAGGACGGTTTAACGCTTCAGGCTGCTGGAGCAGAGCTGCCGGCTGGTACTAAGCCCAAAATCCGAAGCAGAATCCCCATTCTTATCTCTGAAGAGGATTCGGGCTCAGAACAGTCCTCTTCCTTTTCGGCTCGAGCTCGGCTTCAGCAGCGGGCGAGACAGCTCGACCTGGCTCGCTTGCTGGTTCAGAAGCAACAGGGTCGCTGGATGAGGAGGCGGATGCTGTCCGGGACTTCGTCATCCTTGTCCTCTGGAGACGACGAGCGCCTGAGAGTTTCTGAGACTTTATCCATGACGGGCTCAGAGGAGGACATGCATACCTCGGACGAATCCAGAAGGAGCTCCCGTCTCAAACCCACAGAAGAACAAGGGTCCAAAGAGTGCAGGAGCAGAATCCCTAGACCCGTCACTCCCGTAAAAAGACCTTCTGGGGGTTTCGGCGTCGCTGCTTCTCCTCTCTCCTTGCCAGACTCCAAAAATACAAAAGCGGTTTCTTCCGTCATAAATGGGTAAGCCTAATTTTTCTTTATGCTTTCCAAAAATGAACACTTTGAAATATTGTCACATTAGAGCCAAAAACGTCTAAGTATATTATTGGGATTTTATCCTGTTTTGTAATAATACATAAAATGTATCTTTTTTTTTTATTTAATCTAATGTCAGTTTCTGAAAACCAGCTCAAGAGAGCTAACCTGACTCCGCCAGATGGATTTGCTCCGCATATCCATCTGGAAACTTTCCGTTGAAGTAATTTTGGGAAGGGGCGAAAATACTGGTTAGCTGATTGGCCTATGTTGGTGATAGACGGGCCAAATAAACCAATCAGATCAACGAAGCATATGACATACTAACAGAGCGACGACGAAGAGGAGCCAATTGATAGATCAAACTCTTGCCGAAACCAGTCGGGAGAAGAGCAAAAACATCTTTTCCTCTGAGAAAAGCCTCCAGAGCAGTGTTTTGCTCTTCTTTCAGTGAAGAAATACTCTGTAATTCCGATAAAACTTGCTCGATAGCCACGCTAACGCTAGTTTCATCGGCTGAAGCCGCCATGTTCTTTAGACTGAACTGTCGCGCTTCTCGTTGCGTCACACCTCAACCCGCCTCAAAGCCAACGCTGATTGGACGTTCATTTGGTGAACGGCTCCAAATTTTCTTTAACGGAGAGTCGCCAGACTGATCTGCGAGTGAAATCTTGAAAGCTTGCGAGATCAGGATGGTCTCACGAGGCTACAACAGAGCGGTGGCTCTAGAAAAATAGGTTCATGAGTGATTGAAGCTCTGGCAATCTCTGCACATTTATTTAAAAAAGCCACAACTTCTCTTCCATTTATGGAATTTATCCAATAGTAATAAATAATCTGTACCAGTATTGTCCTTTATCACAATCAAAGACTTTAAAGTCTTCTGTTCCTCTGTCCCCCATGCCTGTACAGGGGAACAGAAAACCTCGCGTATTCAGCCAGGCCAATAATTCCCTTTAATGACCCCCCTTTCAGAGACATAGACAGGTATGGAGAATTGCAGGCTAACAAAGGAAGCCAAACGACCCCCATTCCAATCGATTGTTTTTTTTTACTTTTTTTGAATGACTTAATTTAGCAAGTAGTGTTAGCAGCTAAGTAGAGCTGCAAATAAAAATTAGTTTGCTAATCAATTAATCTGAAGATTATTTTTTCAATTAATAATTAGATAGCTACGGAAGAGGATTAGGGTCACAGGGAAAAAATAAAAAAAATTAAATGATTTTTATTTATTTATTTGAGTTTAAAACAGGAAAATGTTGGAATTCTGACTGTTCTCAGTATTCTAAATAAGATAAGTTTTCTTAAAGAAGATTTTTTTTATGGAATTAAAGCAGGTGAAACAAAAAATCTACGCTTGAGGAGTTCTCGATAGAGAATATTAACAGTCCAAAAAAAATGTTTAATCTTAAATGAAAAATGTTTATATATATATATTTTTTTACAATTGTGGTTTAAATTAAGTGGGCTACTCTGTCAGCTTTAGGCATATTTAGAGTCTACTGTTAAAGATAAGCTCTGTGTCTACACCTTGGAGCTTTCTCTCTCTCAGGAAGTGGCCCCGATAAGCAGTTAAAAAGACATTTTGTACTTCTCCAGCCTGCCACATCATCACGTCATTACATTACACACCTTAGCAGATGAGGAGACATCCATGGTTCCAGCCTTATCAAAATATTACACTTTGTTCTTAGCTGAGGGATACGGAAGAGGATTAGGGCCACTGAAAAAAAAAAAGTACTGATTTTTTTAATTTTATTTCAGCTTAATATAAAGTCAGAGTTCTGACTTTAATCTCAGAATTTTGACTTTAATCTCAGAATTCTGACTTTAATCTCAGAAATCTGACTTTAATCTCAGAAATCTGACTTTAATCTCAGAATTCTGACTTTAATCTCAGAAATCTGACTTTAATCTCAGAATTCTGACTTTAATCTCAGAATTCTGACTTTAATCTCAGAAATCTGACTTTAATCTCAGAATTTTGATTTTAATCTCAGAAATCTGACTTTAATCTCCGAATTCTGACTTTAATCTCAGAATTCTGACTTTAATCTCAGAAATCTGACTTTAATCTCAGAATTTTGATTTTAATCTCAGAAATCTGACTTTAATCTCAGAATTTTGACTTTAATCTCAGAATTTTGATTTTAATCTCAGAAATCTGACTTTAATCTCAGAATTTTGACTTTAATCTCAGAATTCTGACTTTAATCTCAGAAATCTGACTTTAATCTCAGAAATCTGACTTTAATCTCAGAATTCTGACTTTAATCTCAGAATTCTGACTTTAATCTCAGAAATCTGACTTTAATCTCCGAATTTTGATTTTAATCTCAGAAATCTGACTTTAATCTCCGAATTCTGACTTTAATCTCAGAATTCTGACTTTAATCTCAGAAATCTGACTTTAATCTCAGAATTTTGATTTTAATCTCAGAAATCTGACTTTAATCTCAGAATTTTGACTTTAATCTCAGAATTTTGATTTTAATCTCAGAAATCTGACTTTAATCTCAGAATTTTGACTTTAATCTCAGAAATCTGACTTTAATCTCAGAAATCTGACTTTAATCTCAGAATATTGACTTTAATCTCAGAATTCTGACTTTTTTTCTCAGAATTCTGACTTTAATCACAGAAATCTGACTTTAATCTCAGAATTCTGACTTTAATCTCAGAATTCTGACTTTAATCTCAGAAATCTGACTTTAATCTCAGAAATCTGACTTTAATCTCAGAATTCTGACTTTAATCTCAGAATTCTGACTTTAATCTCAGAAATCTGACTTTAATCTCAGAATTCTGTCTTTAATCTCAGAATTCTGACTTTAATCTCAGAAATCTGACTTTAATCTCAGAAATCTGACTTTAATCTCAGAATTCTGACTTTAATCTCAGAAATCTGACTTTAATCTCAGAATTTTGACTTTAATCTCAGAAATCTGACTTTAATCTCAGAAATCTGACTTTAATCTCAGAATATTGACTTTAATCTCAGAAATCTGACTTTAATCTCAGAATATTGACTTTAATCTCAGAAATCTGACTTTAATCTCAGAAATCTGACTTTAATCTCAGAATTCTGACTTTAATCTCAGAAATCTGACTTTAATCTCAGAATTCTGACTTTAATCTCAGAAATCTGACTTTAATCTCAGAATTTTGACTTTAATCTCAGAATTCTGACTTTTTTTCTCAGAATTCTGACTTTAATCTCAGAATTCTGACTTTAATCTCAGAAATCTGACTTTAATCTCAGAATTCTGACTTTAATCTCAGAATTCTGACTTTTTTTTCTCAGAAATCTGACTTTAATCTCAGAATTCTGTCTTTAATCGCAGAAATCTGACTTTAATCTCAGAATTCTGACTTTAATCTCATTATTCTATTTTTCCCCCCATGTTAAACTGAAATAAAATTAAAAAATCAGTTAATTTTTTTTTCAGTGGCCCTAATCCTCTTCCGTAGAGGGACACCGCTGTCATTCCATTTCCAAATATTAGCCCCGTACAGAAAAAGGATTATAAACTGTATATCCAGAGGAAATGTATATAATTAGTTAAACTATTGTGGAAAACATCAGTTCTGACACGCAACAGGCAGCTAATATTAAGGTGTAATAAACTCACACATCATCAATGATAATTATCCTAACAATATACTCCAGTTAATGATTAATCAATTTCTAAATTTACAAATATTTCAATAATCGAGTATTGACAATTAATTGTTTCAGCCCTACAGCCAAGCATAGAAAACATAAAAACAGACAGAAAATACACAATTCCCCAAAATATTTAACCCCAACTAACTTAATCTATTCAGCCAGGCTTCATCCGGGAACTCAGACCTTTCTGGTTAATATGACGATTAGGGCTGAATGCTTGTTGCTGTGAATAAAAAGTTGGATCAGAAAACTTCTGATTTAGAGGAGCTCAGTAACGAAACATGTTAGGATTTTATTTGAAAAAATTATGAAACATGGATCATTTTCTCTAATATTCAGGTTGTTTTGATTTTTCCCCTAAAAGGCCAATAAATACATTGAAGTTTTTGGTTGTAATGTGACTTATTTTACGAGGCGCAGTAAATAAGATTCCTTGAATTTTACTCTAGCAGACTATTATCAATGTGCTTCTTTCTCCACAGAAATCAGAAAGCTGCTCAGCCCCCCCAAAGGAAACCTAAGCCTGTCTCATCTAGGTCCTCCTCCTCATGCCCTCGCCCGTCCGCTGCGAGCGGCAGCCCCCGGATGCCCCTTCGCACCCTGCTGGGCGGCCGCCGTAGCCTTAGCTCCACCCACTGCAGGACTGACAGCCCCTCCCCTCAGAGGACGTGCCCGTCCAGGCAGCCCCTTTCAGTTCGGTCCCCTACCGTCCCCATGCTGCCACCTAGGACTACAACAGCTATGCGTCGCAGCGCCTCCCAGGAAGCCACAGCGCAGACCTCCGTAGCCGCTGGCCCTGCCAGGACCAGGCCCAAACCTGCCGCTGGGGCTAAGCTTAAAGCCAATGCCAGGGATAAGGTGGTGCCTGCTAGATAATACAGAGGAACTCTAGAGCTGAGACCTTTTTGGTGTATTTTCAGTCTTTAGAACAGCTAAGCCTCAAAGGTGATCACCAGAGAGACTGTGATATTACAATAACCTCTAATTCATTTAATGGAAACTTTTTTCTTTTCTTTTGAAGGACATCTAACTGAACTATATTTGGGCTTCCAGTCTCCTGACTGACTGTTGTACAGGAGTGTTGCTGCCATGGTGCTATGGATGCGTCTGCTGCTCCCTGGTTGATCCCTGATTTAACTTCCTCCTCCAGCTGAGAGTCATGGCTCCCATTTTCAGATACGATCACATAACACCGAACCCCCGGCTTCCTGCAGCTATGCTAGTCTTCTGTCGACAATACTCTGCTTGGTTCACATTGCATGATAATGTATACCATAAATGCATTGAATCTGTAAGGGGGAAGCCAAACTGGGTGGATTTAATGCAGGATTATGTTGGTATGATAAAAGATTCCCAGATCTAGCCTGTACTCCCTTTGGCCTGGAATGAAAGAGCATTAAAAGTGGACTCAAAAAAAAAAAAATGCTTGGCTGCTCTCCTCCTCCTCATGGTGTGACACTGGGCATGCTTTAAACATGCTATTTTTTTGAAGGTTTATTTTATTTATGCTTTAAATTGTACATAAACCAAATCATTTCCAAGAAAGATATCTTTATTTTTTATCCTGCCAAAGGCGACTCGTTAAACCTAAATCTTTGACCTTGTATTCCAGCGGGTTGGTTATAGGCCTATTTTTTCTTGTTCTGTTTTAATTTTCTTATTTTTTATTTTTGATCGCATGAGAAAAAACAAAACAGGGTTAACCATGAGGGGAAGTTATTTCTGCTTAGATTTGGTGCTGAATGTTGGAGCCCAGATGCAGGGCACTGAGCTGTGAAGTAAAGTCTTGGTAATGTGGAGGAGTGTCCTGTCATTCATTTGGTTTCTACAAATCTATCTATCTATCTATCTATCTATCTATCTATCTATCTATCTATCTATCTATCTATCTATCTATCTGTCTGTCTGTCTGTCTGTCTGTCTGTCTGTCTGTCTGTCTGTCTGTCTGTCTGTCTGTCTGTCTGTCTGTCTGTCTGTCTGTCTGTCTGTCTGTCTGTCTGTCTGTCTGTCTGTCCCTGTATTGTCCCAAAATGGGGAAATTCTGGTGTTTACAGCAGAAAAAAGATTATAGAACAATAGGTCACACAAATGTGGACCTTAGAAAAATGTATAAGAATATCATAAAAGTGAAGAGTTAAAAAATAAACAATAAAATACTGTACTGTAAAGAGTTTTAACAATATAAAAACTTTGCACCTGGAGAATTAATTACCGATATACAGCTATGGACATTTTTACAGTAAAATAGCAGCAACATCAGAGACGTGCAAAATTACAGCAGCGTGTTATTTAAATGACTAAGGTAGAAACTGTAAAATCAGCATGAATGTAACAACGTATTGAGGTTGATGGGAACAGTGGTGGTTCTAGAGTCTTCCAGCTGCTGGGAGGAAGGATCTGTGATAACGCTCCCTGGTGCATTTAAGGTGCAGCAGTCTGTCACTGAAGGAGCTGTCCAGTTCAGCACCAGCTTCATGCATGGGGGGGGAGACATTATCCAACAGAGATGTTCATTTAGTTAGCGTATTTTTCCCACCTCCTGCACTGAGTCCAGAGGACATCCAATCACAGCTGGCCTTCCTGATCAGCTGATCCAGCCGCTTCCTCTCAGCTGCTGCACCATTGATCTACAGGCAGGGTTCCCTGTCTGGTTACAGGTGTCCAAATGTTCAGGTGCGCTCTGGGGTTGCGGTGATAAATAAGCGGACAAATCTGAAATGTGTTTCTTTGCCATATTTTCTCCTGGCTTCTGTCATAAGACTACGTACATTTACTAGTCTGCAGCCAGAAGCAGGAGGCCACGCTCTAGCTTGCTTGACGTTGCCATGACAACGTAACTCCCATGAACAAGGGTCGAGTAGGCCTTAAAATAAATATATTAAAATCCAAATACAAGTAACAGCAAAATAAAAAAAGTCGAGATCATTTCCCAAAATACTCATAATAAATGTATAAATTGTGCAAAGTTTTTTTCAATACATTTTTTAAAATCTTCCTCTCGCCTCTAGGTGGTGCTGCAGCACCCCTACTTCTTGTAGGATTTCTTGAAACGCTAATGTGGAAAATGTTTGGTGTTTTCTTACTCAAGGCTTGGATTAAATAAGTTAAGAACCTGAGATTCCTTACAACTGTGTCATAAAAATCTGAAATAAGGAAGTCTGCTCCCTTTATTGTAGATTTTATTTATGATGAAAATCCAGTATATTTTAATGTTTGAGATATATTGAGTTACTATCTCATTATAATGAGATACTATCTCATTATATTGAGTTACTATCTCATTATAATGAGATACTATCTCATTATATTGAGTTACTATCTCATTATAATGAGATACTATCTCATTATATTGAGATACTATCTCATTATAATGAGATACTATCTCATTATATTGAGTTACTATCTCATTATAATGAGATACTATCTCATTATATTGAGATACTATCTCATTATAATGAGATACTATCTCATTATATTGAGTTACTATCTCATTATATTGAGATAGTTTTTTTTTGTTTTTTTTTTTACAGAGTGGCGGAAACGGGCTTCCATACATACCAGCTGTATAAGGGAGAAAGAGACTTAATTCTATGGTCAGATAAACCAAACGTAGTTTAAGATCTTGGCTTGCGGCTCAGCTTTTTGTCCACTAGGTGGAGCTAAGGACCACGGTATACAGGTGTTTGGCCGCGAAGAAGAGCCAATATGGCGGTGCAGGTTGAGTTAAATTGTTTGGAAAGTTTTCCCTCACACCTCAGTCCTCTGGATGTATTAATATTAGAAAATCCATTCGAGTCTATTTTCCAAAATGATACTAGCTCACCGACCGTCCTCTTCACCCCGCAGCGGCCTCAGGCCAGTGACAACACCGGCATTTTACTGCGAGTTCATCCGACCACTGCGGAGGAGCTCACCAGCTGCGGGGGAAGGATGGCGGACAGCGACTCTGGACTCCAGCTCCGCCTCTTCACCAGCGAGTATTTCCAAAACCACTACCGGCTCCAGCGGCGCCCATGCGTAGGAACCGTCAGGCCTCTGGAGCCGCTCAGCCTGGATAGAGTCGTTCTCGGAGCCCGCAGCAGACAGAGCCTTCTCTGGGCCGGCGCGGAGCAGTTCACCGGCGGGCTGCTGGAGCTCTGTCGCCTCGGTCAGGAGCCGCTGGTCCGACAGGGAGACCCATTACTGCTGCCCCATCATCCGCTGTTCGGGGAAGAGTCTGTGCAGGTGAGACTCTGGGCCGAAAACCCAACACTTAAACTACTAAAACGTGTTTATATTGCTGTTTGATTATCAAATCAATTTGATTTATTATGCGATTTTCATTGTAGTAGCCTGCAGAGGGCTTTCCAGAGTTAAATTCATTACCCCATTGACAACCAGCATAAGTATACATAATCAGAGGCGGATTTAGGAAATTTGGGGCCCTGGGCAAAGACAGGCAGGGGGCCCTCTAAGAAGACAGCACATAAAACAGACAGGGGCGGCGCTAGATGGGGGGCCAGGGGTGGCCATGGCCAACCTAAGCCGATCACTGGCCACCCCTGTGGCCACCCCTACCACTTTTCCCCCTCTAGTACAGATGATGGCAACAGTAATACTCTCAAGTGGAATATTCAAACCATTTTAATTTTCATATATTAACATTTACTTGACAACAAACATACAGTCATTAATTATGCACATAAATATACTGAAATTAAAGCTAAGTACAGAATTCATGCTCTTTTCAGAACTAGATTTTGTGTTTTATGGGGTAAAGATAAAATTATGTGTCTCTGCAAGTCATCTAGGAGTCTTCAGTGAAATCATAGATAAATAACTATTTTAATAAAAACGTATTAAATAATCAATTTATGTAGATATTTTTACTTGTAAATATCTTTTTTTTGCAGAATGATTATTGATAAAAATAAGTAATGACAATGGAAACGATGTTTGCCCCAGAAACTAAACCTGAAAGAATTGTATCAACTATATATGCGTCTATTTGTTAGCAAAGGCTGGAGGAAAGGATAGTTTATCTTTATTTAGAAAACATGGATGTTGTGCTCATTAATTTTCATGTTGGAACAGTGTAGCTTAACCCTAAGGTTCTGGCACCTATCCACTTATGGCCACCCCTCAACTTACATTGGTTATTGAATAGCCACCCTTTTGTTCTGGCTACGCCTCTGGAAACAGACCCATTATATATATATACATTTTAATAGAATAGACATCCATTATCTGTTCTAGGTTTTGTCCCTCTCTTCTTGTTTTCCTCTCTATGTTTTGTACTCAGCTGACTTTTCATGCTGTCTCTAAAGGAATGAAAGATTTTTTCCAAGCACTAAGCTCACTTAGCTGATTGCTCCTTCCTGTGTTTCCAAAAAGGCCAAAGTAAATAACCCAGTCCTTTTTTTCACTGTAGACAAGCCATGATCTGCTTCTCTGTTCTCCATTTTTCATTTGGATGAAATAATAGCTGCATGAATCATGACAGCAGACAAGATAGAGGAGAGCAGGAGGCGGGGTTACCAATCTACTCGCTCTGGAGAGCAGAGTTCGCTGCTTTTAGATGTGGTCTCCAAAGTCTCCAGTAGCAGAAAAAAGTCGCTAGATTTGACGCTAGGAGCTTTTTAGAAATCAAAGTGCTAGAGGGGTCTGAAAAGTGGCTAAATATAGCGACTAAAGCGCTAAGTTGGCAACACTGCTCTTTGCATGGTTTGTTTTCAAATGGTTTGCTGCTGTCTGTTTGGACCTTTCTGAACATGTGCAGCAAATGGACTGATCCAATATGGTGGACACTGAAGGGGGGGCTGAGATACAGTTAATATTATAAACATTCTGATGGCATTTTAACGAAAGGATTTTTTTTTTCAAAAACATGATTAATGTGCACAAATAAGGAATAGTCACATTAACCATACATGTAAACAGAGTTTTATGGGGCCCCCAGGAACTTGGGGCCCTAGGCACCTGCCTACTATTGCCTAAAGGTAAATCCACCCTGAGTATACATAATTACAATTATACACAGCCCATCTTATACTGACATAGACCGAAAATGAAAAGTGATTTGGTTAAAATAAAAATTCAAAGTTTGTTTCATTCCTTTTTATAAGGGTTTAAATCCTTAGTTATTTTTATGATAGGATATGGAACTACAACTTTCAAGCCTGGCCTTCGACTCCTTAAGGAAATATATTTCTATATATTAACTAAACCTTTATGATTTTCTGCCTTTGTAATACTGGCTGTAACTTTTCGGGGTAGAAAAACGTTTCTAACACTGATCATTTATTGAACAGTATCAAATATTTTCATATTTAAAGAACTTTCAGAAGTTTGAATTCTGAATATGAGCGGACATTTCCTTTAAGCTCAGTTTTTATGCCCGCCATTCCTTACATGCGCCTCCTTCTGACTTCGTATCTTCCTTCGTCATGAAGACAACATCATGCGTCGGGGTAGAGATTAGAACGTTCAGCCATTTTATCCAGTTTTTTGTTTTTTATTTTTGCAGTCATATTGTAAGCAGGACTTCTGTGTATCTATCTGTTAAAGGAGCATTTTCTACATTAATCATCTGTTTCCAGGTTCATCTTTAACGCACCGTTCTGCAGAACTCTGTGTAGCTGTGTTGTTTTACTCGTCTCAATTGTCTCTTGTTCTTGATGTGTTTTAAGGTGCAACAGAACCTTCTGGAGCTCCTGGTTCTGGACTGCAGTCCTGTAAGGCAGGGGAAGATCACAGCAGACACCTCTCTGGTTCTGACGGAGTGCTGGGACGCTGTGGACCCTCCTGGCCGTTCTTTGCCCCCCAGGCCCCCCCGTCTGTGTGTTTCAGACTTTGCTCACTATGCAGACAGCCTGGCCGGGTCTCGGTCTCTCCTTGACAGCCGGAGGTGTCTCGGTTCTGGGCTGCCTGACGTCTTGCAGGCGTTGGAGTGCAGGTTGGACGTATGCGTGGTGGACACTCAACGATGGTCCAGGGTCAAAGGCCCGCAGGGAGAGCTTGTGGACTCAGACGGCTGCGTGTTCATGAGCAAACAGCTGCTTCTGAGGCTGGGTCTGTTCAACCACGAGTGGGTGAGGTTGTCTCGGTCTGCTGGGAGCTACAGAGGACCGGAGGAAGAGGTCGATGTCAGGGTTCGCCCCTGCAGAGAGCGCCTGGTCTCTGCAGTCGTGGTGGATCTAACACCAAGTCCAGAACGGGAGATTCACGAGGATGTGGGCTTCATCTCAGCCACTCTGTGGTTCAACCTGACGGAAGGAGAAGCAGTTCCCTGGAAGAACTCTGCGCTGAGGATGAAGGTAATATTAAACACTATAAAACACAGTCTGAGCTGCAGCTGTTCTGATGTGAACAGCTGCTGGCTGGAGCATAAATTAAACACAAGTCAGTCAGAGTTCTGATAGAACGGATCAACATGGACATTGGTTAAAAAATAAGAGAAGAAATCTGAATATTTAGTGAAGCAGCCCGACTTTGTGAGTAATCTGGAGCGCAGCCATGTTTTATGCTAAGCTGATATCGACTGCATCAGTTCCCACCAAGGGGGACGACTCAGAGGTTTTTGGAAACATTACCACATCCTACTGGCCTTTTGTTAATTTTGCGTTTTTGCTTTCCTGCTAAATAAAGCCCTTTTGTGTATTCTTACCATAACACTAGTTCCTTCAAAGATGGATATGACTGAAATAGTGATGGGATTACGTCGGTGTTTAACGAAGCAGGGGCTAAAATTACAGGAGGATTCGGTAGAACTTACAGTTGCTGTAAACCAGTTTAATTAATTTTGGATGTTCTTTGATCACAGCAAGTAAAGAGCAACAACATTGCCTAACCGCAAGTAGAGCTCAGAGCTGTAAAACATGTTGGATTGGGATTATTAAAACATGTTGGATTGGGAATATTAAAACATGTTGGATTGAGATTATTAAAACATGTTGGATTGAGATTATTAAAACATGTTGGATTGGGATTATTAAAACATGTTGGATTGGGAATATTAAAACATGTTGGATTGAGATTATTAAAACATGTTGGATTGGGATTATTAAAACATGTTGGATTGGGATTATTAAAACATGTTGGATTGGGATTATTAAAACATGCTGGATTGGGATTATTAAAACATGCTGGATTGAGATTATTAAAACATGTTGGATTGGGATTATTAAAACATGTTGGATTGGGATTATTAAAACATGTTGGATTGGGAATATTAAAACATGTTGGATTGAGATTATTAAAACATGTTGGATTGGGATTATTAAAACATGTTGGATTGGGAATATTAAAACATGTTGGATTGAGATTATTAAAACATGTTGGATTGGGATTATTAAAACATGTTGGATTGGGATTATTAAAACATGTTGGATTGGGATTATTAAAACATGCTGGATTGAGATTATTAAAACATGTTGGATTGGGAATATTAAAACATGTTGGATTGAGATTATTAAAACATGTTGGATTGGGATTATTAAAACATGTTGGATTGGGATTATTAAAACATGTGGGATTAGGATTATTAAAACATGTGGGATTAGGATTATTAAAACATGTGGGATTAGGATTATTAAAACATGTTGGATTGGGATTATTAAAACATGTTGGATTGAGATTATTAAAACATGTTGGAATGAGATTATTAAAACATGTGAGATTGGTAGTATTAAAACATGTGGGATTGGGATTATTAAAACATGTGGGATTGGGATTATTAAAACATGTGGGATTAGGATTATTAAAACATGTTGGATTGGGATGATTAAAACATGTTGGATTGGGATGATTAAAAGGTGGGATTGGGATTATTAAAACATGGGATAGGGATTATTAAAACGTGGGATTGGGATTATTTCAACATGTGGGATTGGTATTATTAAAACATGTTGGATTAGTATCATTAAAACGTGGGATTAGTATTATTAAAACGTGGGATTAGGATTATTAAAACATGTGGGATTAGTATTATTAAAACATGGGGGATTGGGGTTATTAAAACATGTGGATTGGGATTTTTAAAACATGTTGGATTGGGATTATTACAACATGTGGGATTGGTATTATTAAAACATGTTGGATTAGTATAATTGAAACATGTTGGATTAGTATTATTCAAACATGTGGGATTAGGATTATTAAAACATGTGGGATTGGGATTATTACAACATGTGGGATTGGTATTATTAAAACATGTTGGATTAGTATAATTGAAACATGTTGGATTAGGATTATTAAAACCTGGGATTAGTATTATTAAAACGTGGGATTAGTATTATTAAAACATGTGGGATTAGGATTATTAAAACATGTGGGATTAGGATTATTAAAACATGTGGGATTAGGATTATTAAAACATGTGGGATTAGGATTATTAAAACATGTGGGATTGGTATCATTAAAACATGTTGGATTGGGATTATTAAAACATGTGGGATTGGTATTATTAAAACATGTTGGATTAGTATAATTGAGACATGTTGGATTAGGATTATTAAAACCTGGGATTAGTATTATCAAAACATGGGATTAGGATTATTAAAACATGGGGGATTAGGATTATTAAAACATGTGAGATTAGGAATATTAAAACATGTGGGATTGGTATTATTAAAACATGTTGGATTAGTATAATTGAAACATGTTGGATTAGGATTATTAAAACCTGGGATTAGTATTATCAAAACATGGGATTAGGATTATTAAAACATGGGGGATTAGGATTATTAAAACATGTGAGATTAGGATTATTAAAACATGTGGGATTAGGATTATTAAAACATGTGAGATTAGGAATATTAAAACATGTGGGATTGGTATCATTAAAACATGTTGGATTAGTTTCATTAAAACATGGGATTAGGATTATTAAAACCTGGGATTAGTATTATTAAAACGTGGGATTAGGATTATTAAAACATGTGGGATTAGGATTATTAAAACATGTGGGATTAGGATTATTAAAACATGTTGGATTGGGATTATTAACACTTGTTGCATTATTAAGACATGGGATTTAGAATATTAAAACATGTTGGATTGGGATTATTAACACTTGTTGCATTAGGATTATTAAAGCATATGGGATTTAGAATATTAAAATATGTTGGATTATGATTCTTAATATCACACAAATTATGTAAGTGGGCACCTATTATTATTTTGTTTCTAGATAAATACCTCGTTTAGATCTTGCCTCCTCAGCTCCAGTCATACCGCTATCACGCTGCCTGGCCCTGGCTTCATGTCCACCATGACCTCTTCCTCCTTTCAGACAAGAAGGGATTCATTTTAAAGACCCATTGGTCATATTTTGGTAATCAAATGTAAAAGCATATCAGGAAAAGTTAACTGATGTCAGTGTTTTAAGTTTCTGTCCTGTGATGTGTCCCTGTGGAGGGGGTTTGCTGAGAGGTCTGCAGACTTTAGCTTTCAAAGAAAAACCTCAGGGATTAACGATCAGCTGATCTAATGTTTTTGTGTTGAATCAGAGACTGAAACCAGCTCCTCCAGATCTCAACCAGAACTCCTCCAGTTTCTGCCGCTCGGCTTCTCTGCCGTTCGCCAGTGAGCTTCACATCCAGCCGGTCCTCTCCCCGCAGTGCGGCCACCTCAGCTGCGCTGACAACCTGCTGGCTGAGCACTTCAGCACGCCACGGTGAGGGTGAGGGGGCTGCCTAGCGGTGGCACAGTCTTCTCTATTGTGTGCATTAGCAGGGGTTCAAGCTGTGTGTCTCCTAACCAGCCTATTGTGACAATTTCCAGAGTGGTTTCACTGGGAGACATCCTGACGGTTCCTGCTAAGAACCCCCCAGACCTGCTGGAAAACAACGCTGACAGGATCCACAGGTACAACGTGTTAATCTGCACGGCTCATCCAGAACAGACGCCTGATTAAAGCTCTGCAAACTGAGCAATAATCTGTGTGGAGCTAAACTGGACCCGAAAAGTTGGACCAAAAACAGTTTGATTTGGGAACTAAAGAAAATAAATTATTTGAAACTCAAAATTAGGGATATCCAGATGCAACTTTTTCATTTGCGATCCCGATATCGCAACTTTCATAACTGGTTGATATCGATATTTACCCGATACGATATAACCACAAATTAGACCTGCTTTCATTAATTATTTCATATTGTAAAAATGCTCGATCAAGTAATACTACTAAAGCAGGGAACAAAAGTAAATGACAAAAGGTTTACAGAACCGTTTAACCGAAGCAAAGTGTTTCTGTGAGCTTGAAAATATCGGTTTTAGATGCCGGCCGGTATCAGTTTTTCAGTTGCCGATATTGATATCAGATCAGGACATCCCTACAGGGGGAAAAACTGCTGGCCTCTCTGGGGTTTATGGAGCTAAATTGGGGCCATAATTTTATAAAAAAAATGTAACCTCGAAAAAAATAAAAATAAAATAAAAATATATATATTAGGGCTGCCAAACGATTACAATTTTTATTCTAATTAATCACAAGGTTTCTTGAATTAATTTTGATTAATCGCTAGCCTACATATTATTGAAAAATACAAATTTTCTGTGGCAACTTAGCCATTGCTTTTTTTTTTTTTTTAGCAAATACAGGATGGGTGAATGGAATGTTTTTCGTTTAAAACAAACAGCTTGACTTTTTAACAATTACATGAGGTCATTTTACCTATTGTTTATTCATCTTTTAGCCAGTTGTTAAGGCAAACTAACTGGTTTACATTTTCTGAATGTAAAGCGGACCGTTCGGTGAGGGCGGTCTGACGCATGCGTGTCGTAACAGCTAAAGTTGAAGCCCCAACAAAGGAATGCTTGGCATTAAGATGATATTTAAAGGAATAGTACACCCAAAACATGATTAGCCTTCATTTTCTACTCACCCCCATGCTGAACAACACTCTGGAGTACTTTTTTGATATCTCAAATGCATCTGGAGATCTGGGAGGCTTCTTGCTGTCTGCTGACATTCAAATAATGGAGGTCTATGGCGCCCGAGACAGAAAGGTCCATAAAAGTCCACAAAAAACGTGTCAATATTCCTCCATACTGCTCGTCCAATGTATTCCAAGTGTCCTGAGTGGGTAGCGTTCATAATTTACTCGAAACGAAGTCATTTAGAATGTTTTTAGAGCCTAAACAGTAGTGTATAGTATTTCCTGAAAGCGCGCACATGCGCGCTCACGACGCTACGGAAGCCGGCAGACCAAACCAGATGAAAGTGCGCATTCAGCGTCTGCTCTGCCAATAATGCAAGCGTAGAAGAAGAAATGTGCTGTTTACCTGTGTAAAGAAAGAAACAACGAAAGAAAAATGTCTGAGGACTTCAGTGTTGAGGAAGAGCATGAGTTCCTTGCCGAGCTGAATGCGCTGGTTTGGTCTGCCGGCTTCCGTAGCGTCGTGAACGCGCATGTGCGCGCTTTCAGGAAATTCAGGAAATCCTCGGTGAAACGAGCAAATCACAACATGTTTATTTATTGTCCGGTCTTTGTTTGTTTTTTTTTATTCATGAACTGTACATCCAGCCAGCCAACTGGTTCTTCTAATTCCTCCATCTCGCTCATGTTGGACAATTGAATTGTGGGTAAAACAGGGCAGGACTGCGTTAATGCGTAAAAAAAAATATCACGTTAATTCCAGAAATTAATCATCTCGCGTTAACGCGTTAATTTTGACAGCCCTAATATATATATATATATATATTTATTAGGGGTGGAACGGTTCACAAAATCCACGGTTCGGTTCGATATATGTTGATTGTTACACCGAAATCCCATAAAAATTTATGAAATTAATGAAAAAATACCCCAAAAGGAAAGCAAAATAATGGATTGTAATTATTTTAAATGATCCACGGAAACCCTGGATCATTTCCGCATGTTTTGCTGCTTTGAATTTAATCATCTGGCGCATGCTCTCTACGATCTCCAAGGAACTCAGAGCGGAGCGGACGGGAGCCACAGCGGAGGCTGTAGGCTTTGCTTTGTGGAGGCGGTCCGGAGCGGAGCGGAGCGCTGACGGAGTATAAAGGATTTTGGGGTTAGCATGACATGTTGCTGTTAGCATAAACAAAACGTGTTGCACCATGCTTGCACACAGTTGCACTTTTATCCCCAGCTTTCTTTCCGCCGTCATCCTAGGTCACTCTAAATGCAAAGTGGTCCCATACAGCAGACCTATAAAGTGCTGCTGGCGCGTCTTCCAACTCCTGTTCTTTCCCACTCGCCATACCCACACAATTCTCCACAACAACTGATTTTTTTCTGCTACACCCGGCTACGCTGCTTCGCTTCTTCTTCTTCTTGTTTACTACTGGTGGTTGGCTGAGCGCGCCCCCCACCCCCCCATCCCTGCTGCCAAATCAGATTTGAGATAAAATCTGCATGTGCAACAAAAGAAAAATAATCTACTAAATAGATTTTTCTTTTGAAAAACATTTTTGTTTTTCAACATTTTAGGTTAAATCTTTTTATTTTTTTGTTTTTTCACTTCATGGCCCTAATTTAGCTCCATAAAGCTCAGATGTCATGCAGCATGGAGCGGCGACTAATAGCTTAGGTGTCTGGAAAAACTATTCCCAGCTGTTGCTTTCAGGAACCAGAAATGTTTTTTAAAACATTGTCCATACTCTGGTTTATTAAACATGCTTCCTTGATCTAAGCTGGAGACGTGTCCTTTAACGTTGCAGGTGTCCGGTGCTCTACTTTAAAGTGCAGAAGGTGCTTCAGTCTGATGCAGAAAGAGGAGGAGCGTTTCTGGCTGATAAAACTCACACCTCTCTCTACATGGTGAACATCTACCTTTAAATTTCCCTCCTGCTCCTGTCTGTAGACTCTTTCCAAGCACAGTAGCACCATTTTCTTGGATGTTTTTGATTCGCTGCCTTTAATCATCCGGCTTCAGCGCTGCAGACGATTGGTTATTGTTAATGTGTTTTTAGGGAGCGTCTACCAACAGCCGGGTTCCCCCCTGCTGCGTGGAGGCAGAACCTCTGTGGAGCAGCCTGTCTCCTCCAGGCCTCAACAAGACCGTGGACGTCCTCATCCGCCTCATCCTGCCTCACCTGGAGCACAGGTAGCTCCGCTGTTGAGGTTGATCCTTATAAGGATTGAGGGAGTTTAGAGTGACCACCTCTGTGTTTTGTTGTAGGGACTCTCTGTCCAGCTGCACCGTCCTCCTCCACGGTCCTGCAGGCAGCGGGAAGGTGACGGCGGTCCGAGCGGCGGGACGCAGGTTGAACCTCCACCTGTTGAAGGTGCGGTTCATTAGTATATCCTCCTGACTTATTTTTTCTTCTTTTTGTTCTGTTTCTGGGAGAAGCCGTCGTTCCTCATGTCGATCTCTCTGTGAGCAGGTGGATTGTGTCACCGTGTGCGCAGACACTCCCGCCGCCATTGAGGCGAAGCTGAAGTCGGCGTTCCAGCGAGCCGAAGCCCTGCAGCCCTGCGTCCTGCTGCTCAGAAACCTGCAGCTCCTGCTCAGAGCTGGAGGTGCAGCTGAGGACGACGGCAGGGTGCAGGCGGCTCTGTGTCAGCTGCTCAGCAGCACCCCCGCCAGGTTGGTACCTGTTCATGATGATTTGAGGTCAATATGTCTACTTTCACAGGCCCTTTAGAGTTGCAAATTGAAGTTTATTAATTTTATTGCAGAGATGCATCCACTGTTGTATCTGTAGTACACATACCAATATAAGTGTTTATTTCTGTTCATTTTTGATATGAAAATATCAGCTTTAATTAAGACCATCAAGGTGTTGCCGTATAGTTTATCGTTGAGATGGCGTTTCAAGTATTCAGGTACTTTTTAAGTCCTTAATAGCCTCCATTTCATAGCCCCCTTCAGGTTATCTGCCATATTGGTTCCCGTTTAGAGATCAAAGTATTTTAAGGCTGAATCCAATTACAGTATTTTAACACCAGGTGAACCGATCCTCCATATTTGCTGCCTTTAAAAAAATAAATTACAGTAATTTGTGCTGAATGCATTAATGACCTAACCTGACTCCGCCAGATGGATTTGCTCTGCATATCCATCTGGAAACCTTCCGTTGAAGTAATTTTGGGAAGGGGCGAAAATACTGGTTAGCTGATTGGCCTATGTTGGTGATAGACGGGCCAAATAAACCAATCAGATCAACGAAGCATATGACGTACTAACAGAGCGACGACGAAGAGGAGCCAATTGATAGATCAAACTCTTGCCGAAACCAGTCGGGAGAAGAGCAAAAACATCTTTTCCTCTGAGAAAAGCCTCCAGAGCAGTGTTTTGCTCTTCTTTCAGTAAAGAAATACTGAAGCCGCCATGTTCTTTAGACTGAACTGTCGCGCTTCTCGTTGTGTCACACCTCAACCCGCCTCAAAGCCAACGCTGATTGGACGTTCGTTTGGTGAACGGCTACAAATTTTCTTTAACGGAGAGTCTCCAGACTGATCTGCGAGTGAAACCTTGAAAGCTCGTGAGATCAGGATGGTCTCACGAGGCTGTTAATGACCCGGCTATAGCAAGAAAAAAAAATCCTGGTTATATTTGCATAAAATATCGGTCCGCTGGTCTATCGCTGTTCAGTCGTCTCTAATCTTCCTCTTGAAGATGCAGCTTCATTGATTCTCTGTGGGGTTCATGTCAGGCTGCAGGATCTTTGCTTCCAGTGTTTCCTCTTGAAAACAAAAAATTTAAAAAGTCTTAGGCGATTCTGGGACGTTAGGCAAAATCTGCGAACTGTTCAGTCATGTTTGTCCTGAAATTAGTAGTTTAGGTTTTTTGGATCCAGTCCTTCAAGCTGTCCTGCAGGTTTTAGACGTTCCTCTGCCTGTTAATAAACTATCTATTTAAATGACCTGTGCTGGAGCAGAGAAACCTCTAACCTTTACTTGGGGATGCCTGATTTAAACAATCAAAGGTGTGAAGTAGGGAAGTAAATCGTTGCCATATTTCAAATGAAAAAGCATTTTCAGAAATGCTTTTTCATTTTAAGAATGTGGCTGCATTGTTTGACTAATAAATGAAATGTAATCAATAATCCTGTTTGCATTTTCATTTTCTTCTTCAACACTGCTCATCCTTTTACTCAATCAAAATGAAAGACATTTGAGATTTATTTTTTGAAATGCACCCCAGCAAAGACATACCAAAATTCAATTTGAAAATGAAAAAGTTGAAAATGAAAAAGTATTTCTGGAAAGGCTTTTTCATTTGAAATATGGTAACGATTTGCTTCCATAGTGAAGATGTGTCTTGTCCTGAGTTTATGTCGTCATCGTTCTCACGGAGTGATGCTAACAGTCATCTGGACAATCAGACTTGATGTAACGCTCCTGTGTTTTCTCTCAGTGTGGTCGTCGTGGCCACGGTGTGCAGAGCTCGCGATCTCTCCTCTGGTGTCATGGGGGCGTTCGTCCACCAGGTGGAGATGGAGAGCCCTGCAGAGGAGCAGCGGCTCTCCATGTTGGTCAGTCTGGGTCGAGAACTTCCACTGGGGAGAGACGTGGACCTGCAGAGGCTTTCCAAACTAACCGCAGTATGTATCTATCTTTGCTTCATTGAACAATGAGCTTTCCTTAAAGTCTGGAATTTTTGTTTTTATCTGCCTGAGTTACATTTCCTTCTGAGCACACAGCTATGAACTGTTCTCTGTAGGGAAATAAAACCCAGTGATTCTCTCTGTGCAAAGACACTCAAAAACAGAATCTAGATATTGCCATTCCAGAAAGGGGTCGGCATTCATTTGTCTTCAGAAATGACCCCAACAGACATGAACTAGTGACGAGTGTTTCACCCTGGTTTCTGCTGCTGTTTCCAATCTAAACCCCTCAGTTTCTCCCATACACCTTTACTCTTTCCAAAAAAGTTAAAAAACAATCCACTGGACCTTTTTTTTTCCAAGTTTGAAGACGTTTTGCTTCCCATCCAGGAAGCTTTTTTAATTCAAAGTGTCAAAAATAGGGTTGAGTTTGAGGCTTTATAGATCGGACCAAAAACAAAGCCTTTTTTTGGCTTAGAAAACATGCAAATTGAACCTGATAAACGGGTCCGCCACTTAGGAATGGGGGTTATTTGAGTTCTTTGTTAGCCTCTAACAAAATCTCAATCTCTTTTTCTGACTCTATGGATTTAAAAAGCTTCCTGGATGAGAAGCAAAACATCTTCAAACTTGGAAACAAAGTCGATTGGATTGGATTGTGTTTCAACTTTTTTGGAATGACTATAACCTGGATGAGTGAGAATCTTCACCTGCACCTTTGCGCATCTTCTCAGGGCTATTTGCTGGGGGATCTGAGGGCTCTGCTGACCGAAGCTGGAAGGGCCGCCTGCAGAAGGTTGATCCACGCCTGGTGAGACTAAAACAGTCTGATCATTTAGCTCAGATTCTTAATTATCTATCCTATCTAATAGGAAAGAGGAGAAGGTCGTCAACAAATGTGGGCTTTGGTGATTATATTTACACTCAAAGGCAGCGCTATCATTTATTTTAGATCTCTGTTGGTAAAAATATTATTTTTCCTCCAAAAAAGGTTTATATTTATTTATAGGAATGTATTTAAATCTCATCGAAATCCACCTTCATGACAAGAATTAAATGAAATGAAGCCCTGATTTGCAACAGATCCTGAGTGTTCAGAAAATTAAAGGAAAAGTCCAGTCAGCAAGGAATTAATGAATATAGCATTAATCAGTAAAAAATAAAAACAATAAGTCTGGGAGCGGACATTTTTTGCCCAAATATAGTAACCCCTCCCTCCTGCCATCTTCCAGCAGTGAGGTCACGGTGCGGTAAGCCTAGCGCCATTCTCCCCGCTTTCCAAGCTAAATCAATGGGAACTACTAGACACATCTGCAATCAACAACAATTATTGAAGATTTCCAGATGACTTCACCATTGAAATTCACCAGAGCTATAGTGAAACTGACAATGCCCACGTGCATGGCAGCTGGATGCTGGAATACATCCGGGAAAAGTGAAAAAAAAAAGAGTTATTCCACCTTTCTGATTCCTGATCCTCCACGGACGGGTTGGTCGTTGGATCGCCAACTTGAAGAGGGAGGATTTGCCATCGAACTTCTGGCCAGAGAAAAAACCCGTAATATGTAGCCAACATTTGGAAGAAGAATGTTTTCAAGATGACTTGGATAATAGCGCGTTGTGACAAACACCAGATACAGCACTGGGACTTGATCAACAGCCGATACCGCACCGTGACGTCACTAACCGGTAGGTGGCAGTAGTGTTAATAATAATAATAATAATCAATCCAATTTGTACCGCACTTTTCATTAACAAAAATCTCAAAGTGCTGCACAGTGCAAATAAAATCAAAGATAAAAATTAACATCATAAAAATCATGTGGAGGCAGAATAGGCTTGCTTAAATAAAAAAGTCTTCAAGCCTCTTTTAAAATCAATCAGTGGTTGTGGAGCTCTCAAATGATCTGGGAGAGAGTTCCAGAGACGGGGGGCAGCGACAGCGAAAGCCCGATCTCCCATGGACCTTATTAAAAACTGATAAAAATCCTTTGGCTAAATTCCCATCAGAACGCTGATAATATTAAGTGTGTCTCAGCCCCCCCTTCAGTGTCCACCATATTGGATCAGTCCATTTGCTGCACATGTTCAGAAAGGTCCAAACAGACAGCAGCAAACCATTTGAAAACAAACCATGCAAAGAGCAGTGTTGCCAACTTAGCGCTTTAGTCGCTATATTTAGCCACTTTTCAGACCCCTCTAGCACTTTGATTTCTAAAAAGCTCCTAGCGCCAAATCTAGAGACTTTTTTCTGCTACTGGAGACTTTGGAGACAACATCTAAAAGCAGCGAACTCTGCTCTCCAGAGCGAGTAGATTGGTAACCCCGCCTCCTGCTCTCCTCTATCTTGTCTGCTGTCATGATTCATGCAGCTATTATTTCATCCAAATGAAAAATGGAGAACAGATAAGCAGATCATGGCTTGTCTACAGTGAAAAGAAGGACTGGGTTATTTACTTTGGCCTTTTTGGAAACACAGGAAGGAGCAATCAGCTAAGTGAGCTTAGTGCTTGGAAAAAATATTTCATTCCTTTAGAGACAGCATGAAAAGTCAGCTGAGTACAAAACATAGAGAGGAAAACAAGAAGAAAAGGGACAAGAAGAGAGAGACACAACCTAGAACAGATAATGGATGTCTATTCTATTAACATTTCTCTATCTGTAGAATGGGGCTGTTTTATGTCTTCTCAGTTCAGAGGGCCCCCTGCCTGTCTTTGGGCCCCAAATTTCCTAAATCCACCCCAATACACCTACTGCCAGAGACCAGAGGGAGGTGACTTTACTGATCCGTGTTCTGTCTGCATCTCTAAGTCTTTAACAGAAGTAACTCCAAAGAAGATTAAACGTTAGTTTGTGTAGAAGATGAGCCTTAAAATGAATTTCTGCTGTGCATAGATCAACAGTTAAGCTGGTCAATAACAGATTGCAGATTGTTCTGTCGAATTGTCTGATCTTTGAAGTGTTGTTTGTGCAGCCGTGGCCGGCGGCAGGAAGACCTGTGCGCCTGTGGGGTCACCATCACAAACCAGGACTTCATCTGCGCCCTGGAGATGCTGCAGGACGCCCAGTCTAAAGCCATTGGAGCTCCAAAGGTGACGGTTTGAGCTGCTCAGGTTCACTTTTGTCAATTTCCTTCATCATCAGTTAAAACCGAACCAGAGGGGCTCTCTCCTCTGACCTCAGCAGTTAAAGGAAAAGTCTGGTTAGTAAGGAATAATCAATGGATTATTATAGCTAAAACTGATACCATTGCTGTGATTTTATGAATTTAGCGTTACCGATACCGCACCGTGACGTCACTAACCAGTAGGTGGCAGTAGTGTTCTTTGACAAACATGGATGCCTACAGTAAAGCACATTCACATGAAAATTACTCTTAATTAAAAACACTGATCATTTATTCAACAGTGTGTAATAATTTTATATTTAAAGTACTTCCAGGAATTTGAATTCTGACTATGACTGGACTTTTATGGAGGACCAACTCTGTCATATTTAAAAATAAATACAGAAATAAATAAATGCTCAATAACTATAAACATACAAGTAATTGCCAACAAAAAAGAAATTCAATTATACAGTAAGACATAAATGTATATAACTTTTAATTAGCTTCTTTATTTATTTGCCTTTGTAATATTTACCTTATTTATTTTTTTGTTCTTTATTTTATTTTTTTTATATTTCTGCCTGCCCTTTTTACATTTCTGCCTGCCCTTTTTACATTTCTGCCTTCCCTTTTTACATTTCTGCCTGCCCTTTTTACATTTCTGCCTTCCCTTTTTACATTTCTGCCTTCCCTTTTTACACTTCCCTTTTTACATTTCTGCCTGCCCTTTTTACATTTCTGCCTGCCCTTTTTACATTTCTGCCTGCCCTTTTTGCGTTCTGCCTTCCCTTTTTACATTTCTGCCTGCCCTTTTTACATTTCTGCCTGCCCTTTTTACATTTCTGCCTTCCCTTTTTACACTTCTGCCTTCCCTTTTTACACTTCTGCCTGCCCTTTTTACATTTCTGTCTTCCCTTTTTACATTTCTGCCTGCCCTTTTTACATTTCTGCCTTCCCTTTTTACACTTCTGCCTTCCCTTTTTACATTTCTGCCTGCCCTTTTTACATTTCTGCCTTCCCTTTTTACATTTCTGCCTGCCCTTTTTACATTTCTGTCTTCCCTTTTTACATTTCTGCCTTCCCTTTTTACACTTCCCTTTTTAAATTTCTGCCTTCCTTTTTACACTTCCCTTTTTAAATTTCTGCCTTCCCTTTTTACACTTCCCTTTTTACATTTCTGCCTGCCCTTTTTACATTTCTGCCTTGCCTTTTTACATTTCTGCCTGCCCTTTTTACATTTCTGCCTTGCCTTTTTACATTTCTGCCTTCCCCTTTTACATTTCTGCCTGCCCTTTTTACATTTCTGCCTTCCCTTTTTACATTTCTGCCTGCCCTTTTTACATTTCCTGCCCTTTTTACATTTCTGCCTGCCCTTTTTACATTTCTGCTTTCCCTTTTTACATGTCTGCCTGCCCTTTTTACATGTCTGCCTGCCCTTTTTACATTTCTGCCTTCCCTTTTTACATTTCTGTCTGCCCTTTTTGCATTTCTGCCTTCCTTTTTTACATTTCTTTATGCATTTCTGTCTCATTATGCAAATGAGGAGGGGGCGTGTCCTGGAGAGTCAACTTCTGCTCATTGGTTGGCGGTCCATCTTCTTAACTCGCAGAGCTCAGAGTACTAGTTAAATGTTCTCTTTTCTGTTGCTGTTGTTCAATAAAAGTATGTTTTAAGATCATTTGAGGCGAGAACCTTTTACTTTTAAGCATCTCCATATGGCCCATTCACAGATTTAAAGCGTAATTTAAAAGAAAATGTTCCGAACTTGAGAGGACCGCGGCACCAGCGGAGCTCTGAACCTCACGGCAGCCAGGTTTAACCGCAGCCCGTCTGCAGCGGCCCTCTCTCAGCGTAGCCGTGTGTGAAGCATGTTGGGTAGCATTTATTGAGCATTTATTTATTTATGTATTTATTTTTAAATATGGCAGAGTTGGTCCTCCATAGACTTTTCCTTTAACAGGTGTAGAAAGCAGAACATGAATCTTGGTTATTTTACAGCAGTATGTTGGCAGGACTTTTTTTTTCCACACTTAATTCATAATGTTTGTCGGGCTTTTCAGGGGAAAAGTGTTTTTCGCTCTAATAAAACATCTCTCTGACAGTGCAGGGTTTAAAATGAATAAAACCAGACCATTACACCCTGTGGTTTCCATCCTGGCTGGCAGTAAAACATCTAACCTGGTTCATTCTTAATGAGCAGATCCCTAACGTCCGCTGGGAGGATGTTGGCGGTTTGGAGCAGGTGAAGAAGGAGGTCCTGGACACCGTGCAGCTTCCTCTGCAGCGTCCTGAGCTCCTGTCTCTGGGCCTAAACCGGACCGGAGTCCTGCTGTACGGCCCACCGGGGACAGGGAAGACTCTGCTGGCCAAAGCTGTGGCCACAGAGTGCTCCATGACCTTCCTCAGGTAGGTTTACTCCATGCAGCAGGTCTGCACTCCCTGCTTCAGAGCTTTACTAGTTTCTAAAGCTGGGTTTAAGCTTCTTCTCATCTTTTCTGCCACAGCGTCAAAGGTCCTGAGCTCATCAACATGTATGTGGGTCAGAGCGAAGAGAACATCAGAGAAGGTTTGTATCATCACTCAACCTTTAGACCCCTTAAGAGTCTGGGTTTATTTTCCTCTTTAAGGCGTCTGTTTGTCTTTATTTCCTGTTTTTTTGTTTGTTCTCTGTAGTTCCATGTCAAAGAAGAATGGTTATTTTTACACAGACATGTAAATAATTAGTTTTTATCTAGCTAATAGCTTTTTGAACTCTTTTTCAACTTCTGAGGAACATTTTCACTCTGATCCTCACAGCAGAGCCGCCATTTTTATATTGGAAAATGTCACTTCTGAGGCGACCAGTGTCCCTATAAGTTTATCTCCAATCAGTTTTATCACACAAACATAAGTTTTGTAGTGGCTATAAATTAGCTAAAAAATACTGATATCCAGTCAGACAGCTGCTGGAGCTCTTTTCGTCTTTTAGCTCAGACACTAATAAAAGAAGAAAAATGTTAGCTTCAGTTTATTGTGCTGAATAAAACCCTACAGAAACGATATTTTTTGTAGAAATCACAGATTTATTTAAAGATGTGACCCAAAGATGGGAGGAGATGTGTGGAACACAACAATGAAACGGCAGAAATGGAAAAATTTGTCTTCTTACATAACATCTAATAAGCACTACAGACTGCTGTTGATTTAGTTTCCATTTATTTATTTGTATTTAACCAGATATTTCAACTGAGGACTCATCAGGCCAAGATGTAATGGCGTGTTGGGTTGTCGGCGCCGGTCTGTGCTCGCCGTGCGCAAGCCCATAGAAGCGTTTTACCCTTTTATATTTGGCACAGATGTCGGTGCAGTACTCGCAAAAACCACAAGGGGTCGATGATCAAGATAACTGGTGGAAATGTTGCAGAGATAAAGTGAAGAATCAGTTTATGTACCACTACAGGTTTCCCGCGGGTCCTTAAAAAGTCTTAAAGTCTTGAATTCTTCAAAATAAAACTAAGGCCTTAATTGGTATTAAAATGTCTTAAATCAGTCTTTTTGTCTGGAAAATATGAGCAAGTGTAAATGTAACCAAAATTGTCTCCAGCCAAGAGTTTTCTCCATGGCTAAAACCAGGGAACATACATGAGGCTCAGTGGATTTAGTGCAAGAAGTCATTCAAGCTCAGAACGATGGGAATTAAGGCAGTGGAGTCGCACATGCGAAGCACGAAACACAAAGCGTCAAAATGGAGTTACAGAGAAACAGCCGGTATTTCTCAGTTTAGTTCCACCCTTGTCTCTGCAACGCCTCCACTTATCACCAAATCAAACATACTAAGAAAACCATACAAAGAAAAATAGCTGCTAAAAAGACTTAGCACTGGTTATGTTGGGGCTTTAAAACTGATTTGTTTTGTTCCCTGCTAAAACAAAGTTTGTGAATTCAGTTAAATAATTGTTCAAATATATCTGTCATTTGTGTGTTTTTAGCTTTCTTCCTGTATGGGAAGCTTTTCAACATTTGAAACATTAGTGCAGTGGTTTATGTTAAAATAAACCTTTGGGTTAAGTTGTCGCAAGCAGGTTTTTCTGGTGTTTCTTGTGAATTTGGTCTTAAATTTTTATTTCAAGTGGCATTAAAACGTCTTGAATTTAACTTGCCTTATGCTGTAGGAACCCTGCACTATCAAAATGGCCGAGTGCAGTGTTGTCACTACCCGCTAGTTTTAATTTGGCACATGCTAGCAGCAGGCACGACGGAGAATAAATGTCCCGAATTCACACATTTTGGCATTTACCTGCCAAAATGAAACTGCCAATGAGGAGAGTGGGCCAAACTCCTGCAGAGCTGAAATAAAGAGCTGATGAAGCCCCATTTTCTGTAGAAGTTCTTACTGCTGCATACTAAGAAGCACGTAGCAGTAAGAAACATGGAAATTGAAATGGACGAATGAGTTTAATTTGCATGTTTTCTAAACAAAAACAAGGCTTTGTTGAGCTGCTGTATAAAGCATCAAACTCAACGCTATTTTTGACATTTTGAATTGAAAAAGCTTCTTGGATGGGAGAGAAACGTCTTCAAACTTGGAAACAAAGTCCAGTGGATTGATTCTTAACTTTTGGTAATCAATCAATCTAGATGTTATTTTCTTCAATTATTCGATTAGTCTTACAGATGCTTAAATTAATATTTCATTTAAAAAAGCAAAACGTAAATATATATGTTTATCCATACATATAAATCAGATTTTGTTTTTACTGGAATAAAGCTTTTTATTTACAAACATGTTTATTGTTTAAAATTGTAGCTTTCTTTTAATGACTCTTAATACCCCATTATCACTACCCTATCAGGGAACCGAGCCAGGGACACGCTTTTTCAAGGGTCGTGTAAATGGGGTAATAAGTCGCTCTTTTAGAAAATGATATGTTTTAGAAACCATGAACCATTTCTCTCTGTAAGAATTCAGTGACTAAGTTAGTTGAGGATTATTTGTCACTTGATTTATCTCGATTGTTTCATCCCTTGTCTCCGATTTTGTTTGGGTCAGTTTTCCACAGAGCACGCTCCGCAGCTCCCTGTGTCGTCTTCTTTGATGAGCTGGACTCTCTGGCCCCCAACAGGGGGCGCAGTGGAGACTCTGGTGGGGTGATGGACAGGTGTGTTTATCTTTTTCTGTGGACTCCTGCTTCCTTCTCTCTGTGCTCGGCTCCATTACCTTCTGTCTGCTCCTCAGAGTTGTGTCTCAGCTGCTGGCTGAACTCGACTCGCTTCAGTTGTCTGCTGGAGTTTTTGTGATCGGAGCAACAAACCGTCCTGATCTGCTGGACCAGTCGTTGCTCAGACCTGGCAGGTAGGAAAACCCTCAGAATTATAAAAGCATGATTGTCCATAAGGTGAACATCAGATTCAAGCTTTCAAAAACCTACAATGCAGCAATTGAATTGATCCCTTCCCGCTATCTTCGCAACCCCAAATCCCATACAGGGGAACATAAGATCTCGCCTATTCAGCCAGGCCAACCATTCCCTTTAACGACCCCCCTTTCAGAGACATAGACAGGTATGGGGCATTGCAGGCTAACAAAGAAGCCAAATGACCCCCATTCCAAAGTGGTGGACCCGTTCTTTCCGTCTCAATTAGCATTTTTTCTAAACAAAAACATGTATAAAGTCTGGATCTCACTATTCTAAACACTGTTTCCAGAGGCGTAGCCAGAAAATTTTTAAAAGGGTGGCCATTCAATAACCAATGTAAGTTGAGGGGTGGCCATAAGTGGATAGGTGCCAGAACCTCAGGGTTAAGCTACACTGTTCCAACAGGAAAATTAATGAGCACAACATCCATGTTTTCTAAATAAAGATAAACTATCCTTTCCTCCAGCCTTTGCTAACAAATAGACGCATATATAGTTGATACAATTCTTTCAGGTTTAGTTTCTGGGGCAAACATCGTTTCCATTGTCATTACTTATTTTTATCAATAATCATTCTGCAAAAAAAAAAGATATTTACAAGTAAAAATATCTACATAAATTGATTATTTAATACGTTTTTATTAAAATAGTTATTTATCTATGATTTCACTGAAGACTCCTAGATGACTTGCAGAGACACATAATTTTATCTTTACCCCATAAAACACAAAATCTAGTTCTGAAAAGAGCATGAATTCTGTACTTAGCTTTAATTTCAGTATATTTATGTGCATAATTAATGACTGTATGTTTGTTGTCAAGTAAATGTTAATATATGAAAATTAAAATGGTTTGAATATTCCACTTGAGAGTATTACTGTTGCCACCGTCTGTACTAGAGGGGGAAAAGTGGTAGGGGTGGCCACAGGGGTGGCCAGTGATCGGCTTAGGGTGGCCATGGCCACCCCTGGCCCCCCATCTAGCTCCGCCTCTGACTGTTTCTGACATTTTGAATTGAAAAAGCTTCCTGGATGGGAAGCAAAATGTCTAGTCCAGTGGATTGTTTTTTTTACTTTTTTGGGAATGACCATGAACTGGATGACTAAGAATCTTCACCAGCATATAAAAGCATGTGTGGAACCAGTGGGGTGATCTCACGTTACCTTTCTTTTCTCTCCGTCTTCCTGCAGGTTTGACAAACTGGTCTATGTTGGGATCAATGAGGACCGAGTGTCCAAGCTGAAGGTTCTCAAGGCCATCCTCAGAAAGTAAGAACAGCTCGTTAAATGGGGGGGGGAAATAAGTTGGGCTCATTTGGAACATCGGGTTAAATGTGCTTTAAAATTGTATCTCAAGCCCCTGTCACACCTTGAAGATTTAGACCAGTGTTTGCCTGACGTACGGAAAAATCGGGTAAAAACGCTGGCATACATTGAATAAGTTATGGTTTAGTATAAGCAATGAGGGCGCTGAAACACGCTGGCACACGTCGACATACGTCGAGAAAACGTGTGCCAGGGTATGCCATAAGTGGGCCATAAGTTCCAGGTAAGTTATCCGATCGTTGACATCCGTTCAGTGTCGGTTACTCATCAGTCGTGGCATCTAGCTTATCCAAAACCTCTGAGTAACTTATCATGAACTTATCTGGATAAGTTACGCATATCAACGTATCTGACGTGCCTCAGACGAGCGCTGAACGCGTTTCTAACTTCCAGCTACTGTATAATGGCGTATTGGCAGCGTTTTGGTATAAAGGGGGTTCACAGGAGGAAACCGTCAGTTCTCCTCCAGACTTCATCCCTATCATAGGGTGAGCCAGAAGGTGAGTGATGGATCCTCCCTGCGTTCACGCCCACCACCAACAAACTTCCTAGCTGAATCTGCTGCCACTGCAAACCTTTTTATCCATTCTTTTTTGTGAGGCGGCCGGTAAACAGCAGCTAGGATAATACCGTGATCAAAAAAAATCTTTTTATGCAGAACGGGCGCCTCCGAGCGTCTGAGGGGAGCAGCTTTAACTGATGCTTCGTAATGCGCATTACGCTGCCGTGTGTTATGCATAAGTTAGGCTGTCATTGAACACAAGATATGGACTTTTTATTAATACGCTATGTATATATATATTAGGGCTGGGCGATAATTCAATAACGATATATATCGATCGATAGACGTGTGGCGCAATAGAAAAAAAGAGGGTCGATAAAAGTTCGATAAAAAAAGAAACGCAGTTTTCCTTCCTTCTCATTGTAGCCTAGCATGTAGGTTTATGCTAGTCACTACTTCCTCCCAACCAATCGCAATCGCGGACCCAGGCATGCCGTCACCACGCGCCGCCCTCTCAAACCACAACACAGAGCACATGAAGATGTCGCAGCAAGGAGAGGCGGAGGGAATTGTTCCAAAGAAGGGTTTTTGTAGTTCGGCAGTCTGGCAATATTTCGGTCATGGTAAGTCAGACAAAAAACAAACACAGTCATCTGGAAAATGTGTCGGGAACCAGTGAAAACCAGTCTGATAACGAAACCAACTTTTTTTTATCATCTCAGCCGCTCACACCCACAGGAGTACGAGCTGTGGAGGCCCTGGCGCGGCTCTCCTCCGAGGAATCTTCGGAAAATATATATATTTTCAGTTCTGGGTAGTTTCCCACGTAGTTCTAACAATTGAGATAAAAATGCTGAGGGGCCAGAAACTTCAAATTAATAACTCAGGTTAAAGCAGGAAACGGGGGCGGCGGTGGGGCATTTATTTATTTGTTATATTTATTTTGGTCTCTTTTCTGGTCACTTTAGTTTATTCTTTGTCAGTATTTAATAACATAACTCAGGTCTCTTAAGTTATTTTTCTTTAAAACAATTCTGTTATGGTTAAAAAAGTTGGTTAAATAAAGATTTAATTGGAAGTCTGTGTTTGTGTTCTTTATTAAAATTAAATCATTTAGCAATATTATAAAAAGTCCAGGCAGAGCTGCACATAAAATATGGTTTCAAATCTTTTCAATAATTATCGATATCGATCAATATGCATTTTTTTTTATCGATAAGCTTTTTTCCAGCCCTAATATAAATATATATATATATATCTATAGATATATATATATATATATCATATGCCAGCGTTTGAGTAGATTCTGGGACGTCGGGCGTACGCTGGCTAAATCAGCAAGGTGTGACAGGGCCCTGGAGGAGCGTTTCCTGTTTGAGTTGACGTACCTTCAGCGTGCTTCTAGGTTCAAGTTGGAGCCTTCTGTGAACCTTCAGGACATCGTGGATCGCTGCCCCGCTGTCGTGACCGGGGCTGATCTGTACGCTCTCTGCTCAGACGCCATGACAGCTGCCATCAAGAGGAAGATCCATCTGATCGAAGATGGTAAAAAAAAAAAAACACAGCTTCCTAGATGTTCTGCTCCTGCATGCTCCCCTCGGCTACAACAACAAAAAATGGCAGTTTCTCAAAATGTGTACTTGTGCGTTCTCATGTGCTTGTGTATTTGAAAAACATCATCGGCCTCAGCCCGAGTACTAAAGTACTGAAATCTCAGAGCCAAGTAAAAGTATAAGTACCTCTCCAAAATATGACTTTGGTAAAAGTCCAAGTCACTGACTGAAATGTTACTTGAGTAAAAGTCTTAAAGTATCTGAAATGGCTTGTACTTAAGTTTAAGAATTACTGTAAAAATAGATATACTCAAGTAATGTAGTAAAAAGTAGTGCAGTTTGAATGACTTTTTTTTTACATTTTGGTCAACTTTGAAGGTTAAATTCACCTAAAATAATATAAACAACCAAGTGTTGGATAAATTTAGACTGGCTTTGCGAAAAAGGCGTATCCTATTGGTGTTGCTGAACGAGCCCAGGCAAGACCCGACTTTGTAGTCAGCAGGCGGGGTCAAAACACTTGCTATTTTACTCAGTAACTAAACCAAACATGAAAATGTATCGGAGTAAAAGTATGCAATTAAGTTTGTAAATGTAGTGGAGTAAAAGTGAAAGTTTTCAAAAAAATTTATACTCTTGGAAAGTATAAAGTACTCCAAAATATACTTAAGTACAGTAGTGAAGTATTTTTACTTCGTTACTATACGACACTGCCTAGACCGAGAACAGACAAATTCCCCGGATGTTGTTCTCACCCCTCCCTATTTACCCAGCATGCATCAGAGCAGACTTGTCCGTTCTCGAGACTGACAGCTGTCCCAGCATGCACTGCGGCAGCAGCAGCTTCGACGTTAGCGCTCACAGAGCTCAGAGTATTAAGTTAAAAGTTCTCTTTTCTGTCGCCACTGTTCTATAAAAGTACGTATTAAGATCATTTGAGGCAAGAACATTACACTTTTAAGCGTTGCTATATGGAATATTTACTGATTTAGAACATTATTTAGAAAAAAACTCTGATGTTGAGAGGACCGTGGCAACCAGCAAACCTCTGAGGATAACCGCAGCCAGGGCTAACGTTAGCCTGTCTGCACCGTCTGCAGCAGCCCTCTGGCTATTTGGCGATTTTTTTTTTTTTTGCTTTATTTGGCAAAATGTTCATTTGATTTGTGTTTATCTGACTGTTTATCATTATTCCCCCACTAAATGAAAAAAGTGAATTTATTATTATCTGTAGACTATTAATAACAGGAGGTGAAATGCAGCTCTAGACAAGCTGAGCGTGTGGTGATGTCATCAGTACGCTTCTGTTCCAATTTACCCATATTTATGCTGCGTTCTCCCTGAGTCCATACTTTCCCGTGTTCTTCTCAAGAACATACTTGGCGAGAACAGGAGTCCGTACTCTCATTCTTGTGAATTGAGAAACGGCCAATGTTACATTTTCTTTCTCATAAACCAGAGAAGAAATCCACCTTTGTTTATCCAGAGCAGCAGTTTTTCCTTCTCTATGATCAGTTTTTTTTTTTTTCTCCTCCAGGTCTGGATTCGGAGGACTCTCCCATTTTCCTCTCTGAGGAGGATTTCTCAGTTGCTCTGAAAAACTTCAAGCCTTCTGTTTCTGAGAAGGAGCTGCTACGATACCAGAACATTCACCAGGAGCTCTCTGGAAAGTAAAAACCCTCTGTGAGGCCTTTTTTTTTTTTTTTTTTTTACTGATGTCTGAGAATCATTATGAATAACTGTAAAAAGCAACAAAATGTAACATGAAAAAGGTTAATTTATAAAGAAACAAACGGAAATAAAAGAGTAGAGCTCTTTAAACAGAGAGTGGGTGTCTGTTTTTTTTCTTTTTTTTCTTGGATTTTTAAAAAGTGAGCTGTTCAGATCTCCTTCTGTGTGAAACGTTAAGAAATTTATAAGATTTCTGAAAATTGTTGAGCTGAAATTTCAAACTACATACAAAATAAATATAAAGAGTCTGATTGGTTCCTACAGAGGAATTAGGTCAGGTAGGAAACTTTTCTTGTACTCCTTGAAGTTGAAGTGTTTTATCAATCACCTGCAGTCGGATAACTGGGAATCTGGACCAGCTGGAAAAACACCAATGGACTTCCCTACACGTTGACAATCCAGATTGGTATTAATCGAACCAGTTTTGCAGAATATAGGGGATCTTGGTGATGTCGTCTATGTTTGCAAAGTTCAGAAGTAAATTTCCCATATTGGCTCAGAGAGAAGAAGATCTGGTGTCTCAACCCGTTTTGTTTGGGCAAGCGGAAATTCTCCCATTCTTAACCTTTAAAAGAGCAAGTTGCCCCGTTTTTGATCACTTACAAATGGAGTCCCCTTTTCCCTCACTGAGGTCTAGAATCACAAGGTCTATAGCCAGCCATTCAGCAAAGATCCTGCTACATGGCTGAACATCTTATTTTAGCATTTGATCAATTAGATGAGCCCTTGAATGATATATTACCTACTGGAAATGAAGTTTGAAAAAAAAAAAAAAAGTTAACAATTTAAGAAAAAAGATAAAAAGCTAATTGAAAAGTTAAACAGTTAATAAGCCCAGTTAACAATTATATTTAGGCATATAAACTAAAAAAATGTGTCAGTATCAGCATTAATGTCTCTAAGGTTATGTTCTAACAAAAAAAAAATGTGTTTCTTTAATTCGTCAATTTCTTATAGAAGCACTTTGGGTATTTTTCTTAATGTGTTCAGGCAAGCTGGAGTTTCTTTTTACTTTATAACATTTAAAAAATATGGATATATTGATGGTAAAACAATTAATGTCAAAGGTTGGCTTGAAATTTTGATTTTCTGAGTATTTTACTGAGTGCCCTATAAAAAAAGTTAATATCCAAGTGTCATTAATGTCACTAAATGATAAGTTACTAAATTAAAACTGATAACGAAGTAGGAATTTATTTGAATCGTTTTTTAAAGTCCCGTTCACCAAAAGCAGAAGGTCAGTTTATTGGTTGATTAATTGTGACCTAAATGATGGAGAACCTTTGCCTGCATTATTAATTAGCACCATGTTGTCTAACCTAATCACAAATCAAACTTTATAAAGTGTTTTTAATGCACTGGGCAACATATATGGAGTCAAAACAGCCATTTCAGATTTAAAATTCAAATCTTTTATCTACAAATCCAATTTGAAAAGCTTTTTCTAATTATACATTCTAAATCGATTATTATTGAGGAACTGTAAATTGATTTATGAATCCAGAATTAGAGCAATTTGAGAATGTATTTTCAAATCCTATTTCTAAATGGAGATTTAAATTTCTCAATAAATTAAATACAAACACCTTTCCTAATCACATGTAAAAATGTAAGTCATTTTCTGTTTTCTTTTTCGATTTGCATTTTCAAATCCTTTATTAAAGTTAATTTTCTTTTGACGTTGCCCTCTCGATTTAAGGATTATGCGACCCGTCTGCACCATGAACACCCTGAAAACCAGGTAAACCAATCACAGTTGCTCCTCAGATGTAATCAGCCTCCTTATTGGTTGGACTGCCACACTGTTTACAAAATGACCAAAAGCAGGAAGCTGGTCAAGTAATGTCTCTTTTCTTCAACTCGTAAGTAAAACTTCAGTCTTGTACTGATTGAATCTCTGCCATCCATGACTCAATATCCTAAAAAAACATTTTAAAGGGTAATAACTGGCTCCAAGTCATCAGGAGACATGGAGATTTAATAACATTTGTCCCAGATACCATTACATATTCATGTTCTCTGATCAGTGATAATTGATTGACTTTATTGAGTGAGATGTAACGATAAATTTACTTACATCAGCTCAAATAGTCTGAAAGAAGAAGGTGCCAAAAAGAAGATGGGGTATATATGCGTGTATATATGTGTATATACATATATGTGTATATAATATAAGGCTTAAAGAACAAATCGTCTCCAGTCGGCGGCCAACATTCGACCGGTTTCAGTTTGCCTTCCGATGCTATATATATATATATGTATATGTCTATGTGTATGTCTATGTGTATATATGTCTATGTATATATATATGTTTATGTCTATGTGTATATATGTCTATGTATATATATATGTTTGTGTACATGTATATGTGTATATATATATATATACAGTGATGGGACTAACGGCGTTACTAACGCCGTTACCTTGTTTTAGTAACGAGTAATCTAACTAATTACTTTGACTGTAACTATAACGCAGTTACCATTGCAGGCACCCCGTTACTGCGCGTTACTCAGGTCGCACAATGAACCTTTTTTCATGATAGGACTCGTGCGCAGCTGCGTGAAGCTGACACCCCACCCACGTCAAAAAACTCTGCAATTAGACTGAATGGTTAGTGCAACGTTAGTGCAGATTTGTGCAGAAAAAAATATTGTTTGTGCTACTTTTGTTTAAGAGATATTAAAGATTATTTTTTTAGGTCATCCAGAGGTGCGCGCCTTGTCATGAGAGAGGGGAGGATGAGATTCTGTCTGTCAGTTGAATAGGTGGGTGTTTCTGCTGGTGGGTGTTAACGTACAGCACACACAGAGAGATGGAGAGTGAGGAGGACTCCAGCAGCAAAACAGCGTTTTCCACATGGAAATACCGGTGTTACGTAGAGCTGCGTTTCCCCATCACATAACGGTTTCCTCTGCATCTCCACACAGCGCAGGCGGCAAGAGTCACCGCGCAAGCGACAGGAAACGCGCATGCTCGCTAAAGGTGCGCAACAGTCGCTCTGTGCTCGCGCCACAGGAGAACTATGGTACGGTGGCCGACAGGTGCAAATGCGCAGCAAAAGAGAAAACATGCAAACAAAAAAAAAGACACGCTCACAAATTAAATGCGGCAAACAAAAAGCAAATAAAATGCAGCAAACAAAAAAGAAGACACCCCCGAATGAAATGCAGCAAACAAAAAGAGAGACGCAAACAAAAAAGAAGACACCCCCGAATGAAATGCAGCAAACAAAAAGTGTTGAAAACGGAAGTGCTCCAGACCACTAGGGGGAGTCAAAGAAAATAGTATTCATTTCTATGGGACCAGATGCAAGATTCTGAGAAAGATATTTGAAAGAAAGTAAAGGTACGTATTACTATATTTCTTTTTAGATACGCCGTCTTTTATAATATTACAGAATAACAGAATAATTTATGGGTAGCGTGATAGACTTTGTGATAGACTCACAAAGTCTATCACAAAGCAGAGATGGGAAGTAACGAAGTACAAATACTTCGTTACTGTACTCAAGTAGATTTTTCTGATATTTTTACTTTACTTTACTACTTATTTTTATGGCGACTTTTTACTTCTACTCCTTACATTTTTACACAAATATCTGTACTTTCTACTCCTTACATTTTAAAAAATTGGCTCGTTACTTTAGTTTTGAATCACTTGAATGGAGTTACCGTTATTATTTTTCACGTCATCAATACCAAATTCAATCTAATTGGATGGGAATCTGCGTTGCATTTGACGCACCACTACAAGATGAATCGACAGATTCGGCGGTATTCATTGGCAGCAAATCATTGCAGCTTGGTGGCGGTGGCGTTAGCATAGTATCTAGTCCTATTGGCAGACATCCATTTAAAATGTAGGCAACGGCATGAAAAAAGCGGTTTCTACTTTTACTTTTATACTTTAAGTAAATTTACAAGCCTGTACTTTGTTACTTTTACTTGAGTAAAGAAGTTTAATCAGTACTTCCACTTTTACCAGAGGATTTTTTAACACAAGTATCTGTACTTTTACTCAAGTACGGAAAGTGAGTACTTTTGCCATCTCTGTCACAAAGTCTATCGCGCCACAGGAGAACTGAGTTCTCCTGTGATAGACTGAGTGATAGACTCTTCTTAGGATTTATAAGGAGAGCTGCTGACCTTACTGGGTCAGTCTGGCCTGGTTACAGAGAAGGTAACATTGCTGTGCAGCACAAAAGGTATTTTGTCTGAAATGATGTAAATACTACACTTGTTTCCATATTATTTGTTTTTTTGCATTTTCCCCTGCCTCTCTGCTCTTATTTTTGGGAGGTGTGAAATAAATATGATAAACTGAAGACGTCGACATGCCCTCCATGATTTTTTTTCTCATGATTTTGGAGTCAAGTTGACCGTATCGAGGTCTAACACAGAGGCTGTTAGGAAGAACCCACGACAGATGTAAAAGCACACAAGGTCTACTACTTGGTATTTATACAAAAATTACAATAAACTGTTGACAAACTCACCTTTGTTTTCTGAAATATGACCACCAGCTTTCGATGCGTTGGTTGGCTGTTGAGGAGCCATACATATGGCTGGCAACGCTCAAGCTTTTCACAAGTGGTGGAGAAAAAAAAAAAAGTAACATTTTGAGAACCTCCAGAGACAGTGTGGCCTAGCACATCCACAGAGTTGGGAATCATGTGTCGAAAACTATATCAAACTGAAAAACATGGTGGACTTATAAACAAACAAGAATCCAAATTTTAAGGTCGCACACAAACAGTAAACAGTGTAATAACTGAACAGGTTTGACAAGTTAAATAGATAGCATTTTGTTTTGTTATGCATTTGACCTTAATAAAGCCCAAACCCAGGGGAGTTTTGAATCCCAAAGTCCATGTCTCCTTTAAACTGATGATACGTCTTGGACATTGGTATTTTGATAGTGTTGGAGCAGGTGCTACTGACAGGAAAACGAGAAGTGGCCTGAAAGATCAGTTTTGGTGGTGGCAGAATTGAAGATGGAAGTAGTGTGTTCAAGCCGGTGGCAAACATCAGGACGTCCTGGAGAGAGAAACCCGTTTTTTGTTCTAGAAAAGAAGCAATGAGTTTATGTATCAGATATTACAATAACACCAGAATATAGCAATAAATCTTAAAGTCCTCCTTCTGCGTCAAGGAGAAAGTCTCTCCAGAATCCTAGCACTCTTGTTTCCTCATGTCGTCTGCTGCTACCCTTTTCACTGAGCTGAACCTCAAATATTTCCTCCAATATTTTGGATGTCAGCTGTTCCACTCTTGCACGCATAAATGGCCTGAAGATGGAAGCATGCTGCTCCAAAGCATTCTGGAAGTTCAGTGTTGAAAGGCCATCCTTGAATCTATAAAAAAGTTTGAAACAGAAATCACCTTAATTATTATCAAAAGAGCTGATATTTTTCAGTAACACAAAGAACATTAATATGTCTAATCTATTTTTATTATTTTTATTTAGCATAGGTAATATTGCTGATGCACTGTGTGTGTGTGTGTGTGTGTAGATGTGTGTGTGTGTGTGTGTGTGAGTGTGTGGGTGCTGTTGTAACCATTAATCTCCCGTTCAGTTCAACCTTATAAGCGGAGATACATACTTGATATTACTATAATTAAATAACTTGCAATTAATTATTTGCAACGTTCAAGCTTTTCACAAGTGGTGGAGAAAAAAAATAAATAATGTAACTTAGTGAATTTCCAAAAAAAGTATTCACTAATCTACTTTTTCAAGTAGTAATAAGTAATCGATTAAAGTTAATTTTTACAAGTAACTATGCCATCACTGCTTACCAGTGTCTTGAGCTTGTGCCAAGATCTGCACATTCACATGAAAAACAGAAAACTTGAATTGTTCCTAGATTTTGTCCACAGAAACAGCAAAACATGGCCACCTAAAAAAGGTAAATCAGAATCAGAAATACTTTAATAATCCCAGAGGGAAATTACTTTTGTTACACGCTCCAGTTACAGTTTTACATGATATATACACACATCCAACTATACAATATAATAAAGATAAAAAATAAGAATAAACAGAGATAAAATATATATACACATATAGCTCTTCTGTATATATATCTGCACGTATATCTATGCATATGTAAAAACTAAATCCAAATAAAGTGAAAAGTCCAATTAAAGTGATAAATCCAAGTAAAGTGATAATGTTGTTTTCCTCCTCTGCAACCACGGCGTGTTTTCCTCCAGAGTTCGGGTGGTATTCCAGTTGTCTGGCTAAAACGCCGGCCGGCATTAGAGCGATCAGCTGTTCTCTGGAGTAAACAAAGGCAGCGTGTCCCGGTGGGAGCAGCATGATAAAAACAGCACAAAAAAGCACAAAACCTCCCCGAAAAATACCTCATTATAGAGGATAATACTTCACAGAGTCACTGTGAAAAAATAAGAGCAATCAAAAAAAGATAAAAATACGAAAGTTAAAAGCGTAACAGGAGCGGTGTAACTGCAGCACGCTGCTTTCGCGCATGCGCACTAACTGGTATAGTCTGCACATAGGTCCTCTTGTGACAGATAGGTGATAAATCGAATTCACTAACTATCTATCTATCTATCTGATTATGATTAGCATTAGCATAATTGCTTTGCTAACTCGGGCAAGCATCTACGAGACCGAGCCCAGAACGGTATGACTGACACAAAGTCTATCACGCTACCCATAAATTATTCTGTACTCGTACTCGTACTCGTCGTCTCCCGCTTTATCCGGAACCGGGTCGCGGGGGCAGCAGACTAAGCAGAGACTCCCAGACTTCCCTCTCCGCAGACACCTCCTCCAGCTCTGTTGGGGGAAGCCCTAGGCGCTCCCAGGCTAGCCGAGAGACATAGTCTCTCCAGCGTGTCCTGGGCCGTCCCCTGGGCCTCCCCCCGGTGGGACATGCCTGGAACACCTCCCGAGGGAGGCGTCCAGGGGGCATCCGAAGAAGATGTCCGAGCCACCTCAACTGACTCCTCTCGATGTGGAGGAGAACCGGCTCTACACAAGCCACTCTTGAACCACAGACAGCGTCAGAAGCGTCTAAAGAGAAACAGGACTGGACTGCTGGTGAGTGGTCCAAAGTCATGTTCTCTGATGAAAGTAAATTTTGCATTTCCTTTGGAAATCAAGGTCCCAGAGTCTGGAGGAAAAGAAGAGAGGCACTTCATCCACGTTGCTTGAAGTCCAGTGTAAAGTTTCCACAGTCAGTGATGGTTTGGGGTGCCATGTCATCTGCTGGTGTTGGTCCATTGTGTTTTCTGAGGTCCAGGGTCAACGCAGCCACATACCAGGAAGTTTTAGAGCACTTCATGCTTCCTGCAGCTGACCAACTTTTTGGAGATGCAGATTTCATTTTCCAACAGGACTTGGCACCTGCACACAGTGCCAAAGCTACCAGTACCTGGTTGAAGGACCATGGTATCCCTGTTCTTAATTGGCCAGCAAACTCTCCTGACCTTAACCCCATAGAAAATCTATGGGGTATTGTGAAGAAGAAGATGCAATACACCAGACCCAACAATTCAGAAGAGCTAAAAGCCACTATTAGAGCAACCTGGGCTATCATAACACCTGAGCAGTGCCACAGACTGATCGACTCCATGCCACGCCGCATTGCTGCAGTAATACAGGCCAAAGGAGGCCCAACTAAATACTGAGTGCTGTACATGCTCATACTTTTCATGTTCATACTTTTCAGTTGGCCAACATTTCTATAAATCCTTTGTTTTTATTGGTCTTCAGTAATATTCTAATTTTCTGATATGATGAATTTGAGATTTTCATTTGTTGTCATTTGTAATCATCAAAATTAAACAAAATAAACATCTGAAATATATGAGTTTGTATGTAATGTATGAATATAATATACAAGTTTCACTTTTTAAATGGAATTACTGAAATCAATCTACTTTTTTATGATATTCTAATTTTATGACCAGCACCTTTATCTTCATTTTAGGACTAAATGATGCTCAGCAGATTGTTGTTTTTGTTCCCAATCTTTCCATGAACTTGTTAGGAAGCCCCCAGACCGTGTTTGGTGTGGATGAAAGGTTTAGAGGAGGAGAAAGGAGGAAAAACCCAGAGATGATCAGCCTGTTCCGCTGTGAATCGGTGCAGTTTAGGAGCTCCAGTAACAAAGTGCGGAGAGCCTGAGAGATGTTCATGAGCTGAACATGAAGAGAAACAAGTCCGCTATGGAGGCATTCCACTGTCAGCCTGTAGAGCCGAGAAAACACCGAGTTTTCACCTGTTTTATGCTGCCGAGAAAACACAAACACAAGCCGTCCATGTTGGAGAGAGGAGCCCAGAGCGGGCTGAGTCTCTGCGGTTCTCACGGTGTGTTTAAGAGCAGCCTGCTGCTCAGGATTTCTCATTCACCATCTGATTGTGGTCGAAGAGCAAACAGACAGAAACAAGAAGAAGAAAATGGCAGAAGTGGCTCCAGCTCCCGCCGCGGCTCCGGCCAAGAAGAAGGCGTCCAAGCCGAAGAAGAGCGGCCCCAGCGTCAGCGAGCTGATCGTCAAGGCCGTGGCCGCCTCTAAGGAGCGGAACGGCGTGTCTGCTGCCGCCCTGAAGAAGACTCTGGCTGCCGGAGGATACGATGTGGATAAGAACAAAGCCCGCGTTAAGATTGCCATCAGAAGCCTGGTCACCAAAGGCACCCTGCTCCAAACTAAGGGAACCGGAGCCTCTGGCTCCTTCAAGATGAGCAAGAAGGTGGAGAGCAAGGCCAAGAAGCCCGCTAAGAAAGCAGCCGCTCCTAAAGCCAAGAAGCCCGCTGCCGCCGCTAAGAAGCCCGCCGCAGCGGCCAAGAAGCCCAAGAAAGCGGCAGCAGCCAAGAAGCCTGCAGCCGCCAAGAAGGCAGCCAAGAGCCCCAAGAAGGTCACCAAGAAGGCTCCTGCAGCCAAAAAGTCTCCCGCTAAGAAAGCAGCCAAGCCTAAAGTCAAGAAGGCAGCAGCAGCCAAGAAGAAGTGAGCTCCATCCTGCACACATCAACAGCCCCACAAAGGCTCTTTTAAGAGCCAACACCTCCTTCTTTAAGAGCTTATTCTGCCTTATCACTAAATGCACATCAGCTTTTATCTCCAGGAACAACAGGAACCTAACCAGATAGTGATCCCACAACAGCTCTGATTACACTTCTTCTACAAGTTGAGCCATTATAAGGATCTGATGGAATCAGTTTATCTATTTTGCCATTTAATAACATATTCCCAGCAATGGAATCTGTTTAGCTAGATCTTTTCCAGATTACGAATATCATGATCTAAGTTTATGTTTTATTTGTACTAAGTGTAAGTACAGATTAATTATCTTTTTTATTTTGCTCTACTAAATCAACATACAGCTGCGTTTAAACTATGTACCCTATAAGACTACAGAATGCTAAGATATTATTGTGCAAAAATGTTAGGAAATGTTCTACAAAGACTGAAACTTAACCATGAGAATTATTTTCATTTAGTGCCAATACTAAAACCCTGTCTACCTGAGGTCTATGGAGGACCAAATCTGCCATATTTAAAAAATAAATACAGAAATAAATCAATGCTCAATAAATAAATAAGCATACAATTATTTGCCACCAAAAATACAATAAAAATAAATGTAAGTACAAATTAAATTATACAGTGAGACATAAATGTATATAACTCTTTTAATTAGCTTCTTTATTTATTTGCCTTTATAATATTTATCTTATTTATTTTTTTTTGTCCTTTATAATCTTCAATTTTATTTTTTAATTACTTAAAAAAATAAAGTAATGTAAAAAGTAATGTAAAATGTAAAAAGGGCCGGCAGAAATAAATAGCAGTGAAGAAATAACTAGGGTAAAAAAAAACAAAGGAAGGATAAAACAGACAAAAATATAACATGCACATAAATAAATACTTAAAAATATAAGTAATTAAAAAATAAAGTTGAAGAAAAAGAAAAACTTACAAATTTAGGAACATCTACAGGGGATAATTATTATAAATACAGCAGAGGATTAGGGCCACTGAAAAAAAAAAAAGAAAGTTAAACGATTTTTAAATATTCTTTCAGTTTAATATGGAGGACGAAAAAAAAAAATCAGAATTCAACTTTAATCTCAGAATTCTTAGTGCTCTGAGCTTAGTGCTTGGAAAAAATCTTTCATTCCTTTTCAGACAGCATGAAAAGTCAGCTGAGTAGAAAACATAGAGAGGAAAAAAACAAAGAGAGGGACAAAACCTAGAACAAATAATGTATTTCTATTTTGTTAAAAATTTATCCATCTGTATAATTGGTCTGTTTTATGTGTTGTCTTCTCAATCCAGAGGCCCCCCTGCCTGTCTTTGTCTAGGGCCCCAAATTTCCTAAATCCACCCCTGTTCTTGAGTAAAGGGATTTTTTGTCATGTGATTATTTATATATATCTTTATATATTTGTGTGTGTGTGTGTTCCTCCTAAATCTTTAAGATTGATGGGGAACCATCCACAATGATTAAAAATTTTCCTTTTAGAATTCTAAACTAAAAGCTCCTATTTTAATTGCATTTACAACTACAGGATATATTTGAAGGCGTGTTTGATCAATTTTCAGTTTATCTTTATTCCCCTGAATTATTTAATTGCATTATTGTCCCATTTCTGCAAAATCTACTTATTGAGGAGTGTGTGGCTCTGAAAAGAGCCTTTTATTTGATGTTTTCAGAAGCAATACTTTTTATTTAATAAAGTTAATAAGGTATAGATGGGAGTGACAAGATACGATAAATATAAATTTGTAATAGAACTCCACAGGGATTATGATCTGACCTTTATTATTCTTACTCACGGTTAATTATGTTTTTACAAAAGTAGATCAGAGTGCATGCAGTCATTATTTACTGATGATGGAGACTAGTGGATGAAAAGGAAAAATGTAACATTAGTATATGTGAAAATACAAAATGCTCTTAAATCTGTTGAAATTGTTACGCTTATAACTGGGGATTTAAATGCTCAGAAGGTAAAACAAAGACTGGTGTATTCAGCAATAAGAAAACTGAGGAAATAATTTAAAAAGGTATGGAGAAAAAAGGAAATCTATTTTTGTTTTGCAGGTGGAAATGGGGGATATTTCTTTATATCTAAGAGAAAAACTAATTATGTTGAATTATTGGGGAAGTTTGCAGTTGCAAATTAAATAATAAATTAAACATCAGGGGCATTTTTTGGATATTGTTAAATTAATCATTGAAGATTCTTCCTCATATTTCCGCATTTCCCACATTTGTCTTGGTCCGTTAGTCATTTCGCGCCTTGTTTTAAAATTTCTGACTTAACCAATTGCTGAGTTAAGATGGTGGTACCACGTGTTCAATTTGGTCAATCAGCAGCCATCTCCCGTCACAGGACTATTTATAAAGCCGCATTTTTCGTCAGACCTTCATTCGCATAGTGTGAAGCAAACATTTCGTGATGGCAAGAACCAAGCAGACCGCCCGTAAATCCACCGGAGGAAAGGCTCCCAGGAAGCAGCTGGCTACCAAGGCTGCCCGGAAGAGCGCCCCGGCTACCGGCGGCGTCAAGAAGCCTCACCGTTACAGGCCCGGCACCGTGGCCCTCCCGAGAGATCCGCCGCTACCAGAAATTAGAGGTGGGCAATACCGGGATTTTTTAATCGATCCGATACCAAGTAAATACTGGGTCAGTATCGCCGATATCGATACCGATACCGATACTTTTTACATTTAAGCTGCACTTGCCTGTTGCTTTTTTTCTATAAAGTTCTCAATCGTGGAATAAATAAGAGATTATCTAATGTTAGCTTATTTTAGCTAACAATTTTTAATGGGATAAATGTACTGGGTTTTTTCAAGGTCTTAACTACACTTTCTGAGTAATATATGATGTATAATGAAGTGCTGCAGACGATGACCACTGTTATCTACCTGGATATTCTCTGGAGGACTGAAACGCTTGGGTCAAAGATGTCTGTCTGAGGCTGGAGGCGGGTCTTTGGTCTCTCTCTCCATCCAAGTCTGAGTGAGCACTCACCCAGCAACCGGCAGCGCGGTTGTCTGTGTGACGTAGTGCTGAGTGGGCAGGCCAAGCTAAGCCTGCGCGCTGATTGGCTGGCGCCGCTGAGCCATGTGACTGTAGGAGAGGGGAGGGGGAGCAAAGTGCTGTTACACATATGGGGAAACTGGTGACTCCGCAGCAGTCAGCGCGCGCGAGAGAGGATAAAAAGTATCGATCTTGTTAAACGAATATTGTTCAATATAAATACCAGCGTTGGTATCGATAGTATCGATCCTGGGATCGATCCGCCCACCTCTACCAGAAATCCACCGAGCTGCTCATCCGCAAGCTGCCCTTCCAGCGCCTGGTCCGGGAGATCGCTCAGGACTTTAAGACCGACCTGCGCTTCCAGAGCTCCGCCGTCATGGCTCTGCAGGAGGCCAGCGAGGCTTACCTGGTCGGTCTCTTCGAGGACACCAACCTGTGCGCCATCCACGCCAAGAGGGTCACCATCATGCCCAAAGACATCCAGCTGGCCCGCCGCATCCGCGGAGAGAGAGCTTAGATTACTGCTCCAACACAACAACGGCTCTTTTAAGAGCCAACCAACTACTCTAGAGCGCGATTGCTAAAAATACACCTTTACACATTTAGTATGTGACCAACTGCTTCAAAAAATATACTCGTATGAAATGAGACAACTTATTTAAACTTTTTTTTTTTGGTTCCCCCCACACAATTCTAAATTCTCTGAAAAATAAATCTCTTGGGTGATTCGTGGAAAGCAGTCAGGTCCACTGTCTGGCATTTGAGAAACTATTCACAAGAATACACCCAGTATGGCAAACCATTTTATCATAAAAAAAAAACATTTCACCTGCATGTCCGCAATTACTTTTAAGATATTAAGAAAAACTGACTTGCAAAAAAATAGACTATCCTGAATGATAATTTAAGGAATCTCAAATTGTATGAGTACTGAAAATGATTCACGATATCTTAAATTACATTTTGGAGTCAAAATGCAATTTGAGATATCTAAAATTATGTCACCATATTTGTCATTCTAAGTGTCACACATTATGGGAAAAAACAAAAAAAAGTTGCATAGCTAAAACTAGTTTAGCTATAATCATGAAAGGATTGTTTGTATGAATCTGTTCACACACAAAAAAATAAATAAATAAATAAATCACGAAGCATTAAAGTAGGCATGTGGTGCCATTTGCTGCTAAAGTATAGTGGCACATGTCACCAAAGCTTCTTTAATGATACATTGAGCCTGGGAGCGTTTCTGCTCAGTTTTTAACTGAAACTGTGCTCAATTTCAGCTCTTGCATTGTCTAAGCCAAGTGATGTGATATTTAAATAATTGATTTATATTATTTTGTGGAAATATAGATGGCAAGATGTTTTATCTTATTTTATCTTTAAATGTCTACTGTTGTAATATATTTCGCCTAATCGCAATTTTTATTGGTAACACTGAATATTGAGGGGAACTAAACGTGACTCGATTACCAAAGTGAAAACCTTCCTGTCTGCCAGCATTCCAAATTAATTTGTGATTTGGAGAAATGTTGCTTCAGAATAGGGCTTGGTCGTCATGACGTAATTACTTTGCGTGGCCGCCATGTTGAATGCCTCTTTAATCGCGGCTCAGACTACTGCCTATCAAGGGCGTAGGTTTGATTTCAACTTTGGTAGGGACACTATTCTTCAGTTTCATTGGTCCTTTGCAAAAATATGCATGCTCTTTTTTATGCTTAATGTGAGCTTCAGGGCTCATTTTGTTTAAAGAGAACAGCAGCATTTCTTGCTACATTAATACAAATCTTATAAGCACTACATGCACTAGATGCTGTTTATCAATATTTAAAGCATAACTGGCTCTGATGAATGTGGAATTAGGACTTTTTCCACTTTGAAAAGGATTGCATTTAAATTTACCTGCTACTAAGACAGTGTCTGTTTAACCAAATATAGTCTAAATATGTGGATTTATCCTGTGTTTTCTTTTGATGATATAGAATTGTGCAGAGGTAAAACCCCACTCTTATTTTTTTTTCATCTAATATGCTCTCTCTGGATCATGCAAAATAATACATTCAAGGGACAGCAAATAAATGTATTGTATTTACATGTGCACTGGAACTAGAACAGGAACTGACACTGAGCATTTAAAGTATTAATATTAGAAGTTGTACATCTGGGCTGTAGTTACTCTCTGTATCTAATTTAATGTATTTTATCTATGGCTGAAACAATCAATCATATTAACAAATTATTTAAATAATCGTGAACTATGTAATTGATTAATCGTAAACTGGAATATAGGGCCACTAAAATGTGCCTTTAGCCGACAGAGCGACCCACTTAGAGCAGGAATTATACCAAGATTGTAAAAAATATGTAAACATTTTGCATTTAAGAAGTAAAAAAAAAAAAGTTTTTGTCTGTCAATATTTCCATCCAGAACTCCTCCAAAGGAAACGTTTAAACGTTTCTGTTTCACCTGGTTTCATTTCATAAAAGATCTTCTTTAAGGAGCCTTTGGCTATCTGATTAAAAGATAAAATAACAGAAATCCTAAAGTTGTTAACTTACATTTGTCAAGTTCCACAAATCATAAAACTCTCTCCTTCTTCTTTACAGAACTCCGATCAGAAGCTTTCGCCTGTTTTAGCGTAGATAATAAGTTTTTTTCATTTGGACTAGTTTCGTAGCCCAATATTAATTTATTTTAGCGTCTTTTTTTTCGCGCTCCAATCACCCGCGCACATACAGACTAGAAAACACGCAATCAGAAAGAGAGAAGGCGGAACTTAAGGCAGAATAATCAGAGAGTTAAACCGCGCAGCACAGCTGATGCGCTGCTATGTGAACGGGACAGGAAAGAGCAGGCAGCTGCAGCTACCAGGCAGAGAAGCTGCGAGAGGAAAAGAAGCGGCTGCTGTATAGTAAATTATAAACATGTTGTTCACATCCAATTATTGGTAGGGACAAATAGGTCCGTCCAAAATTTTGGTAGGGACATGTCCCTATGGTCCCTATGTAAACCTACGCCCATGCTGCCTATGACTACCGCGTACTTTACTCCCTCTCAGCCGTGTTTTAATTTGATTAATTTCACCTTAACTTGATTTCAACCATGGTAAACTGTTGCTGTATTGTGGGCTGTAACAGCTCAACACATGATCGCCATGGGAAAAACATAGAAAATGGGTTAACTTTCCACCGCTTTCCTGCCTGGAGGCGTAACCATGGAGACCAAGCGTCAGAGATAAAGAGTCGTCGGCTAGCTTGGATCGCGGCTGTAAGACGACCGAACATAAATTTCCACAGTATTCCAATGTCATTGAGAGTGTGTTCCCTGCATTTTCATTCTGGTGAGTTAAAGATGCACGGTTTTATTTTATAGTCTACATCATTTCTTTCCTTTAAAGTTGGGATCTTTTAAGGGAAAATAATAAAAACGGCAGCGGGAAAATGCTCAAATACGTGAGAAACCCGGAGGGTTGGCAGTTAACGTTACTAACTACACCTTTGAAACACATAGCAGCTAGTTAAAAGTACATTACATGCGTGAGTGGTTGTTAGCATTAGCGGTTAGCAGTTACTAAACTAGCAGGCTCCAGAGCCCGTCTGATCACAGCTTACCTTCGTAAGGATTACTGTGTTCCCACTGTTTGCTGGCTTTATGATCTGCAGCTCCTGAACCCATCCATTCATGAACTGCACATGAGACTCCAAGGACTTGTAGCTTAGGAACTGTTTTGAAGTATAGGCGCTCACTCATCAGTGCTCCACTCATTGTTTCAAACATCATATGGATAAAAATTATTAATAATGCTGATTTTGTCAACATACCGGTCCCTGGCTTCTCTATTTAAGGTGTCCCGGTAAATTCCAGATCCTTTTCGGGATTTTAACATCTTTTTTCTCTCTACTTCTACGTCTCTTCTTTCAACAACAACGTTGTATCAGAGCTATGTTTATGTTCGCGTAGGCCTCAATATGGCCGCCACGTCCCACAATGCAACGCGGATCCCGAGCCCTATAGCTGATATAGAACACATAAACTGAAACTTCTAAATTTATGTGAAATCAAATTTAGTTTGGTAAACTTCAGTTGTTTAAATTCAACAAGTAAAATAAACTTATTTTTAAGGCTAAAGTACACATTTCAACAGAAGACTATTTCTGCCAAATGAAAGTAAAAAGATGCCAAATACAAAGTCATCAATATAAGATACTAAGTCATAATAACAGGATAAGTATCTCATAATAAGGACTTTGGAAGTCAAAGTTTTAAATTTTTTTATCTCATTATTATGACTTTGTATCTCATATTTATGACTTCAAAGTTGAAATTAGGATTTTGTATCTCAAAATTATGACTTTAAAAGTTTAAGTTTTCACTTTCTATCTCATATTTATGATTTTTTATCTCAAAGTTATTACTTTCTATTTGACATTTTTTTATATTTTCATGTGGCATTAACGGCCTTCCATACTTTGAGACATAATTCATACTGTTCTGAGTGGGCGACAGGGGGATTTTGCTACATGTAACCAATCAGTGAGCACATATGCGCCTATAAATACTCCCAATGCTCCCAAGACCGGAGGCAAGACCAGGACCAGGACCAGGACTAGGACCAGGGCCAAGGCTAAAGCCAAGAGCCGCTCCTCCAGAGCAGGGCTGCAGTTCCCAGTTGGCCGAGTTCACAGGCTGCTGAGGAAAGGGAACTACGCTGAGCGCGTCGGTGCCGGGGCTCCTGTGTATCTGGCTGCAATGCTGGAATATCTGACCGCTGAGATCCTGGAGTTGGCTGGAAATGCTGCCCGCGACAATAAGAAGACCAGGATCATCCCCCGCCACCTGCAGCTGGCTGTCCGCAAAGACGATGACCTGAACGAACTGCTTGGTGGCGTCACCATCACTCAGGGAGGAGTTCTCCCCAACATCCAGGACAAGAGGCGCGTGTGTTGCTGCCGTCTAATTCTGAAAAAAAAAAATGAATGATAGATGAAAATATAGAGCTCATAAATACATATATTTCTAGTAATAAAGGTTAAATATTAAAAGCATAATTTCACGTGTTTCTTGTATATTGTTTGTTTGATACGGGGGAACGATTCTTAATTAAGGGGGGAACCAAAGGGTTGCAGCCGTGGGTCGGAGTGTTACCTTTAAGGGTCGGTACCTGTGGATCTGGAACATCAGTCAGACACCTCGCTGATTCCTCTGCCTAAGCCACCAGTGATAAGGACACTGGATAAACTACATAGCAAATGACTGAAGATTCCAATTTTCTTTCAAGGGAAGGCGGCCAATGAGGTACATTTTAGTTTAATTTACTGTTTATGACCGTTAAGATGTAAAAGAGTTTGAGTCATATTGTATGGTCGCTTTTTTCCTTTGTCTTTTCGGGAAAATGATTAGTTTTGTTTGCTTTTCTTTCTGTATGTTTTAACAGTTCTCACGGCACACCATCATGCTTCTTGTGTGACTAAAGTCAGTATCTAAAGAGCGACTTGGTTTCCGGTGTTGTGGGTGTTAGCAGAAGTGGCTATACAGCAGCTAGACCCGGTATCCTAAAGGATATATTTCGGCAGCAAAAGAAGGACTCCACACTCTGGTTGCGTTTGTGCTCTGAGAGAGGAGGGGCGGGGCACACCCGACCCACCTGAACTCTGCTTTTTATTAACCATACCACGTGACAAAACCAGTTCATACATCACTTCTATTTACAAATCTGTGAAATAAAAACATAAATCAGAGCATAAACCTCAACACCCCCACTTGCTCTGACGTTAATCCTATTTACAATCATTAATATTTTAAATTACATTCCAAAGATAAAACTGTCAAACTTGACTAACTTGAATGTCGTTACTGGTTTGGTTAATACATCTGCTACCATCAGTTCTGTTGGACAGTAATACAGACTGACCTTGCCATCCCTTACAGTTGATCTCACAAAGTGGTATTTTATGTCAACATGTTTACAGCGCTGTCTCTTTACAGGGTTTTTGGCTATTGCTATGGTCCCTTGGTTGTCTTCATAAATTTTTGCTGGTACATATTCATAACAGTCAATGTTCTTAAGTAGCTGTATCAAATATAGACATTCCTGAATAGTTGCGGCTAAAGCCATGTACTCAGCTTCACAGGTAGACAATGCGACCGTTGGCTGCTTTTTCGTTTTCCAAGAAACCAAAGGTCCCCATTTAGACAAACTTATACAATAACCAGTTGTGCTACAGCGATCGTTTACATCAGCGGCCCAGTCAGCGTCACTGTAGGCATGCAAGCCTAAATTTCCATCCTCACATTTTTTGTAACACAGTTCCTTTTCAGAAGAGCCTTTAAGGTATCTTAACACATGTTTCACAGTAGTCCATTGTTGTTCTGTTGGTTCTGCAAAATACTGTGACAGCTTACTCACTATAAAGCTTAAATCAGGTCTTGTACAAGAAGTCAAATAAATGAGGCTGCCTACAGCTTCTCTGTATTTTGCTGCATTGTCTATCCTTTTCCCATCATCATTATAGTCCTGTTTCTGTTCACAAGGAGTAGCTCTAGGTTTGCAGTCCTGCATGTCAAACCTCTGCAGTATTCTCTTTACATAATTTTTCTGAGACATTTTTACACGGTTTTCCCCCTGTTCAAAATCAATCCCAAGAAAATATTTCAGCTTTCCCAAATCCTTCATTTTAAATCTTGCCATGAGAACCTCTTTAACACTTTTTAGTGCTTTCTCATCAGTAGCAGCAATGATCAGATCGTCCACCCATACTATAAGTATGACTTTATCTTTTTCCGTCTGCCTGGTGTAAACACAATAATCTGCTGGATTTTGCACAAACTTGTTTTCACAAAGATAATCATGCAGGGTATTGTTCCAGTTTCTCCCTGCCTGTTTAAGACCATATAATGATTTGTTTAATTTGCACACAACCCGTTCATTTCCGTTTGGTTCTTCTTCATAACCTTCTGGTTGTTCCATGTATATCTCACGATCTATCAATGCATGGAGATAAGCGGTTTTAACGTCCATTTGGTGCAAGATAAGGTTTTCTTGTGCTGCTTTCTGCATCAAAACTCTAATACTGGTCAGGCTTGCAGTAGGGGAGAAAGTCTCTTCATAATCAATACCCCTCTTCTGACTAAACCCTTTTGCCACGTATCTAGCTTTGAACTTGTCAGTTCCATCTGCATTCTTTTTCACTGCATAAACCCACTTCCCCCCCACTGCTTGTTTGCCCTCAGGAAGTGTTGTTAAAGTGAATGTATCATTTTCTCTAAGAGATAACATTTCTTCATCCATTGCTTTTTTCCATTCTTTTGAGTATTGAGAATGTACAGCTTGTTCAAATGTTAAAGGTACATCACATAGAAGCCTGTAGCAATAATCAATATTTGTTAACACTAGGTCGTCGAGTTCTTTTTCTGTTACATATTCATTCAGGTAATTTGGCCTTTTTCTTAGCCTAGAAGGGTAACGCTTTGTATCATGATCTGCATCACAAATGGCATCATCTTTATTTTCCGCCTCTAAAAGAGTGGCTGGACTCTTTTCAAGTATTTCTTCCTCCTCTGTGTTTTCCTCCTGTTTTGGCTCTTTATACTCATCTGTTTGCTTTGTGATCCTATTAGGTATGTCAAACTCATCCTCTAATATGTCAGTTTGTGTCTTTTGCTCCATCACATTTTTAGTTAAAAACTTCACTAGTCTATGTTTTAAGACTTTACCTTTGTGAGGAAAATAAATTAGGTAGGCTGGGCTGTTTTTGTCATATCCTACAAAAATTCCCTCCTCACATCTTGAGTCCAGTTTTCCTTTTTCTTGTTTGTAGGCAAAACAGGCTGAACCAAACTTCTGCATCCTGGATAAATTTGGTCTTTTCCCACGAATCATCTGATAAGGGGTTTGCCCTGTACGTCTATTAAAACACCTTTTTCTTATTTGGGCCGCTGTCTGAACTGCATATACCCACATTGTTTTAGACAAGTTGGTCTCTATCAGCATACATCTCGCCATGTCAAAAAGTGTACGCCAGTTTCGCTCTGCAGTGCCATTTTGGTGTGGCGAATAAGGGGCTGATGTCTCGTGTCTAATGCCATGTTTACTCAGTAATGTTTGGAAAAGCTTCCCAGTAAATTCTGTACCATTATCAGACCGTATACATTTTATCTTGCCGTAGGGCGCCATGTCTGCAAAGAATTTTTCTGTTGCCTGCACAGTATCATTTTTATGTTTTAGGAAATAAACAAAAACTGCACTTGAAAAGTCATCGGTAAATGACAACACATATCTGTAGCCCTCTCTGGACTGTGGATCTATTGGCCCGGCTAAATCTGTGTGCACCAGCTCTAATGCAGCTCTAGCTCTTTTATCTGGTTCACTGTTCTTCCATTGGGCAAATTTACCTTGGATACACACTTCACATGGCTTTGTTGGTTTTTCATTATTACCTTTTATGTTCATTCTATCAACAACACCCTGTAAGTTTTGTATATCATTATAATTGCAATGCCCCAAAATCTCATGCCAGGTTTGCATGTCATGAGAACCTTTACACTGGTCATCGCATTCATTACTCACAGTTTGTAGATAGTACAGTCTGTTGTGCTCTTTGATGGGGAAGTTTGTTCCATCTCTGTGTACCAAAGCATCTTGTCCTTGCTTGAAGATCACTGTTGCCCCATTGTTTGTGGCTGCTTTTACAGAAAAAATGTCTTGTGGATAAGAGGGGATGTACAGTGCCTGCTTAAGAATTGTCTTGTGGTGTCGCCCCCTGCTGTCCATCAGAGACACCTTTGCATCTCCTCGTCTTTTCGCCACTCCATTGCATCTGGTGCCATCAGCCAATTCGATGCAATGTGTCTCGGGTTTGAAGTTGTCATCAAAATCTTTAAATCTGCCAAGATCTGTGATGATATGCGAGGTTGCTCCGGTATCCACCATCAGACCTTTGATTTTGGTTTAGTCACGCCTCCCAATCTCCTGGTCAGCATCAGTCAGCCGGAAAACATATTCTTTACCGTCCTCTTCTTCAGCAGCTGTCCATGCCACATCCTGTCTTTGCCTTCTCCTGCATTCATCCTCTCGGTGTGTGGAGTTTTCACAAATATTGCACCATTTTCTGCGGTGGCACATTTTAGCTATGTGTCCCCGTTGTCCACATCTGAAGCACACCTGGTCGACGCCGTCTGCTCTCCTCTCGCTCATCCGCACCTGTGCATGCTTTAGGCTTGATTGGACCCGTGCTTTCATGACGTTGTCCGCCGCAGCAGCCGTGCGTATTCTCTCTGTGTCTTCATAACTCCTTAATTTGCATTTAAAGTCAGAAAAAGTCATTTTATCTTCACTTTGTGTGACATAAATGATGAATGGTTTGAATGACTCTGGCAGTCCTTTCAGAATCATAGCGATAAGCAGGCCATCACTCATAGTTTCACCTGCATTTCTTAATGCTGTTATAGCGGCCTCAGCTCTAAGAACATAAGTTGTCACATCTTCGCTGCCGACTTTTTGCAGTGAGGTAAGTTCTGTATATAGACCGATAATGCGAGGTTTACCCTTGCCCACATAAAAGTCTCTCAAAATCCTCAGAGCCTTCCGTCCATCATCAGCAGCTTCACGCATTATCAGCGATAAACTTGTATCATCTAGGAATTGGATAAGCTCCGCATACGCCTCTGCGTTTTTCGTGTCTTCATCTTCTTCTTCTCCGTCTTCCTCTTCTTTCTTTAGAATTACGTCCTTTAATCCTTGTAACCGAAGGTGGCCAAGAAACTTTGCCTCCCACAGCTCGTACTTCTCCGCATCTCCGTCAAAAACCAACCGTGACCACCGGTTACTCCCTTCTGCAGTTTTTCTGTTCATGGTGCTGTGTGTTACGTCTTTCCTTGCCGGTGGTTCACCTGCGCTTCTGGTACTCTTCACTTGGGTCTCCGTGTGTAGCTGGGCCCATAACCTGTTAGCAGAAGTGGCTATACAGCAGCTAGACCCGGTA